TTCTGCTTGAAAAGGTTTTACTTGAAAAGGAATTACAATGTCTAACCACAAATCAAATTTAATTAATTTTGACAGGCCATTAGTAATTAAATTGAAAAATCCCCGATTGCACTATGTATGTCAATATAAATTAGCTAATTTTGAATGGCAAATTGGTAAATTATTATTTATAGCAAAGAAACGCGAAAATTGTAAAGTATGACTCGAAAATTGTAAAGTACGTTTTAGTATTTAATACATCGTTTAATGGCCTATATGATTTTATACGCTTGAAAATATCGTTGTTGAATCCCTTCCCTGGAAAACTTTTGTATAAAAACACGCTGTTTGAAATGTGTATTAATCCTACGATTAATATATTATATGAATTCTCTGATGGTGGCTTTGGAATAAAGTCGAAACACGGTGCCATCCAGTAAACTACTATAGTGGCGAGAATCTCTCGTTCATACGCAGTTTTAAGAGATTTGACTCGTCTCCAATCCCTGTGGGCTTGGTAGCTGAACAGGTAGAGCGGCGGACTAGTATCCCGAAGGTGCGAGTTCAAATCTCGTCCAAGTCACATGTTTTTCATGTGCATATTAAAACCGTGTTAGGATTAATATAGAAATGTGTATGTTACACGCGTGTTAGCTGCAAAAAGTCTGACTCGCATTGCTATATATTTCATGGTTCCTGTGTGCTCGATATACGCCATAGTTTGCTCTTTTAATAATTCTGTACATAAATGACTATCTACGTAGATCAACATGTATATCTCACTTTCATGCGTAAATATTCAAACCTCTTCCAAGAAAGGTCTTCCAATTTCCATATCATCAGAAGAAACGTCACAAGCAATTATTTTGCCATCTTTAGGCAGCGCGAGAGCAACATTTAGCAGATTGTAGCCAGTATAAACGCCTAAAAATAGGTTGAAAAAACAGCATAACTACAGAGCATCATTGTGTAGACAGCGCAAAAAGTTTTAACACCTGGAGAGATGTATGTACTCTCAATTTTCAGTGCGGTGCTGGGCTGCAAAAGTTTTGTTAGCGCCAATTACTCATATCATTTACTGATGATCCAAGCTAGATACTTATAACAAAATTTCAAAATTCGTGACTACTGTCTTCACAAAGAACGTTGGAAATTAAGCTTCGTACAAACGTTTGTTTGCTTTTCATAAATCATACAAAAAACATGCAGTAAACTTGTTCAATGGGCCTAACTTAATACTCCAGTAGTATTTTAGTATTTTAGTTGTTCAAGCCAATTAAAAAAGAGGGGCAGCGGACCAGAGGAATGGGGCTGTGTATTAATTAAAACATTCTTACAAGATGACTGCTTTTCTGTTTCTACACTGAATGATAAGCAGTAAATTGCTCTAGAAGCGTAAAAATTGATCAGGTTGTTGCAACATTGATTGTTGAGCAACGTATGATCAGCGTTGTTAACATGTATAGTTTTGAACAATACTAAACAAGTGGATTGACAACTTGCAACAACTTGATGACTTTTACGCGTGTAGTGGCGCGTAGCTAGCCAAGATGTTAGTTTGGTCGTGGTATAAATAATAAATTTTAGATTATCAGTTCAGCATTATTTATTTCATTAGAAATCTGTTACTGTTGCAGCGTGAGCTAACAAGGAAATATTCATACACGATGAACAAACTTGAGATGACTTTTCACGCAACTGCATAATGCATTGTCATAGAAATAATCTTTAAGGTAACTTAGGAAATTGGACAAAGAATATTGAGTAACTTGATTCCAACCAACCAATTTTGCATGGTTACCTTTTCAAGCTTCTCAGTAATTTCCTTTGGTTGTTCATTGTTAATTTATGACTTATTGACTCCCGATGCAATTAAAATAATTTGTAAATAGCGAACACATAATACTGGAATAATTGTTTTAAACCACTCTAAACGTAAGGGCTAAAAGCCCAAAACATACTGTGTCATTAACGGTTCGTGCTTTCATTTGGTTAATTTCCTTATTCAGTCGCTCCAAATCAAATACGATCCGCCACTGGTTGTAGTTTTTCCCAGGGGTGTGTGGCCATAAGCTTTATAAAATAAACACAATGAAACGCGTGCGCTGATTGGTCTAGAGCTGTCTTTGCATTAGCCTGTGCAAACACATCTGAGCTCAACCAATAAAATCAATCAAAACAATCAATCAGTCAAAGAGAATTTGCAAATCGATCATGAATACATTTTAGAGGAAAAATTAAAATGTGTGTCTTTTTGCATTATTGTTATTTTATAAAAGAAATGGTTTTTCGTTTTGCTGTCTTATGAAAACCTGGGAGACGTTTGTGAGAACCCTTGAGCATGTGCAACCCTCGACCTTCAGTCTCGTGCTTGCACTGATCTGCTCTCGAGTTCTCTCAAAGGTCTCATCTGTTTGCATAAGCCTGTGCAAACACAGTAAACATCTTTTATTTCTTAAATGAAAGGGTAATGAAATTATAACATGAAGGCAGACAAAATTTCGAAATCAACAAAAATGTGAGGCTGGCACATTAACATCACCAGTTAGTGCAAAAAAAAGACAAACCTATTTCAATGGCTTTCTTTGCATTCATCAAATGAAGCATTAGATGCAGAAGTTGGCATTCTAATGGATCAGCAATCATTTCAATCTCGCTGCTCATTGATAATGTTTTCTAAAAACATTTTTGAGTATTAAGAACAAACTAATTTAAACAATGCAAAGAAAGCTAGGTAAACAAACCAATCAAACCTCAAGGAGCAAGAAGTTTGATATTAGTCATATGACATTAAAATACAGACAAATTTTTCAAAGCAAACATGCGCATACTTTATGCCATCTTCAGAAGTGAATAGGAAGTTTACATGGATACAAAATAATATATATAAAGTAAAACGGAAGTATAGATTGCTATGCATGATTCTTTAAAGTTGAGTAAGATGTAGTAAAATATTTGTGTTAAGTTTTACAAAGAAAAACAAACAAATAATTCCATCATCTAGTAATTTGACACCTCTCACATAAATAATATAAATATAGCTGTTAAAAGAAATCATAATCATTCTTTGTACTGAAGATGGCATAACCATACTGAAACATGTTTCTCTAAAGAAAATTGTCGTCCACTTGAAATGCTTAATATATATAGTGCTTTTAGGAATTATGGAAACATAACAATAATATTGAACTGAGCAGTCCATTCATATCATTATTTGTATGAATCAAAAACAAGAGTCTAGAATCACAGAAGTTCATTCAAGCACATTCATATACATGAAAGTGATAAATAAATGCAACATTTTAATTTTTGCAATGTCACAAATACATATTGATGTATTTGAACATTCAAAAATTCCTTGATCTCAGGAGTATGGCTGGCATGACACTAACCCTCACTTTTTCAATAAACAAGCAATTCATAGTGTAAACTTGAGTTTCCCAACATATTATATGGAGTATGTTTGTCGTGCCCTCCCCTATTCACACCAATCATCAGAGTAAGGCAAAAGTAATTAGTACATGGTTGGTTAACTTGGTTTGGCTTTTCAGGATTACCATCTCAAATCTCAAAACATTAATTGAAAGGATTAAGCATATTTCAAAAGTAATATGTGAAAGTATTGACTACAATGGGCAAACAAGCAATTGTATCTATATATCTTAGCAAGTTAAAGCGTTTATTTAAGCCAACAAGACTAGAATCAATATTTCTGAAGGGTAAAATATTAAGTGATGAGATGGGTTTCAAGCATGGCATGGCTATAATCAGAAAACTGGGAGCTTGCATTTCAATGTTGATAATTGCTATTCATTTTTCATGTTTCACATATAAAGCATTTTATGGCAATGCAACTTCCACCCGCGCTTACGAAATCAAATTTGTGAAAGTTAATTTGTGAGTGTTAAATTGTGGTATAATGTGGTGTTACATCACATCACGTTCGAGGAGAACTCAGATTTCAAAATGGAGCATGCCCCCAGAACTCCCGAGCTCAAATCTTCACAACTTCGGAGCTAGCTCGGATTAGTCGCTCCGTTCAATCTCCACTCTCCAGGGAGCCTCACCCAACAACTTGGCATCTAATTTGCTACATTACATTCGTAAGTTCTTCAAGAATGATTTTCCCAAGAAGCTAAACAACTCTTACAGTTCAGACATCATCAATTCGTAATTTGAGTGTCAAATATGAACTATTTACGACACCATTAAATCTAAATCCAGTTAAATACAGTAAGCGATTGTTACCTCGTATAATCGACGCAAAATATCAGGTTCTCGCTGCGAATTCTTCCACACATACTCAACAATGGGATTAAAGCCTGAGTTTTTATAAACTTTTCTAGTTGAACAAAGATAGTCCATTAAATTAATTTCTTGTCCGTCTGCCATAGTTAAAAATACAACTCAGTTACTCCACCAGTTTGTAGCAAATTTCGAAGTTCGACCGGAAATTGTATTATTGTTCTGTATAAAGCAATCATACATTCAAAAGAATCATTCAGGCCCAACTGATTTATGAATAACTCTCCTCCCCCCCCTCCCCCCATTTAAGATTTTAAAAACGGTTCTTCTTGGTTGATATGGCGGGGCTAGGAAGGACACAAACAAGTGTTGAACAGCTGAAGCTTGATTGAAAGTAACAAACTAAGTATAATGTATTAATTAAGGCCAAATTTTTAGAAAATTCAAGGAAAGAGTTGGCTAAGCTATGTTTTTACGTTCTTAATTAGAAAGAACAAAGTATCAATAAAAGTCCATGAACTGTCAAAGCGACGATATTTCCTCGTCAAACGAGCAATCATTTATAGCATAACCGAAACAAGAAACTACTATGCTGATCCAAAAAATAAGAAACACACGTGAGCAATATAGGATTTTTTAAAAACGGAAATTTTGCCAACTTTGCCTGTAATTATTTGCTCACTCTTATGGGAAAAAAAGGAAACCACTTATAGGTAGTTCCTTGCCATTTTAATTTCTTCAGTGGCAAATGGCAATGTTGTAAACGTAATTTTTAATTTATTTGTTATAATTCTTTTTCAAAGCTGTCTTCCAAGTTTTCAACTGACATCATTGGTCGTTATTTGACGAAAATCACTTCTCGTAATTCTTTGTTCCTGCTTGGTGTACCAAGTTGAAAACTGACAAGTATATTAACTACCTCAATGTACAATCACATCCAAATAATTATATTTTACAAACAATACTTGTACTATCCCACGTCAATAAAATTCCATAGAGTACTCTTTTCACAATAATACATCTGTATACACAAACTTTACGGAGTAAGCTTTGAATCTTCTCGCATTTCTTTTTTGGTGATTGCTTCCTCTTCACTTTCGATATCAGATTCCTCGTTCTAAAAGAAAGACACCGGTAGTTATTTTTACATATCTTCAGCAGTTCCCACAACTATATACCTCGTAAGCCAACGATTTTCCAAACTGTATATTCATGTGATTTATCGATATTTCTTTTGAACATATCTTTAGACGACTCGGTGTTATTATTTTGTATTGGAGCCTCGTCCTCGCTAGAGCTTTTATTATCATCAACATGCTTGGAATAAGTCGTGTTTTCATTGGTCAACGAGTCTTCATCCAAAATTTTCGAGCGTGCGCTAGGTGCTTGAACAACGTTCATTATCATCAAGCTATCTACAAATTGGTGTCGTTGTTTTTCTTCTGTCAAGCTTGATTTTGTTTCACTGTTGCAAGTTCCGTTTTCAAGTATTTCTTCTACCTCAATCTTCGAATTATGATATCTGTCATAAATATTAGAGCGTAGTTTATGCACAAAATATGCAGATACAAAGTTATGGAGAAAAATAAAAACATCTCTAACATCGTCACAGATATTACGAGTGGCGTAACAAAGTATTGATGAGTTTTTGATATGCATTTTTCATAACTGCATTTTTCATGCTTAAGAAAACAAAGAGCGTGCAAAAAAAATGAAATTGAAAATTTGCTAAGCGCATATACAAGCACCAGTTTCAGGGCTCGCTCTGAGACAAATTTAATTGACAATTAATCTAAGCATGCGTAGTCAACTACACCAACTCTACAAGTTCATGGTCATGGCAACGACGAACTGTATCATGTACTAGTACCGATTATGGAGTAATTAGCTCACTCAGTCACAAATTTTCAGATAAACGATCTGCACATGCGCAGTCTGCTTGAGCATGCGCAGTCGACTGGACCAGCTTCCCAAGTTCATGGTCATGGCAACGACCAACTGCATCTACTAGCACCGATTTTAAAGTAAATAGCATGCTTAGTAACAATTTAATAGAGAAACCATCTGCACTCGAGATTGCGCAGTCCATTCGGCTAATTGATCATAGTCATGGCAACGACTAACTAATTGTATTTGTGGCAATTAACTTACTTAGTCGCAAATTATCAAAGAAATCATCTGGGCATGCGCAGAAACGATGTCAATCTTACCACAACTTTCGTAAGCCTTTGAATTTATGTATATAGTAAATACTTTATATAGTAGATGTCAACTAGCAGTGGAATCTGGGTGCGATTAGGTATGTAGTGGCTTAGGAGCCCAGACTTCGGTCGTGACCGGACTCTCCCTGCGTACCCCGAACAAAGCACATCGCAAGTGATCTCGGGGTCTGCTACGTATTTGCATCCCCAAGTAGGATAGCGTCGAGGGGCCGAAATCTCCTACCGAAACGTTAATATGCGGCGTTCTAGTGCCTTACGCTTAAGGGTATCGGGAAGCATGGACCGAAAACGGGGTTTTTTGTTTTCGAATTTTATCTCTTTGTTTACAATAGTTCTTCTCATATAATAAATATATCAAACTTCAATTTATATTTTATAAGTACATTAGCCAGAGGCGTTACTAGAACGTTAATTGGGGGGGGGGGAGAGGAGGCATATCGTCGAATATTCATATATTACACTGTGCCCTACTAATTTCTTTTTAAAGTGAGTTGAATCTCAAAAAAATCAGTAGGGCACAACTGAATATATAAATATACACCCCCTCAATTAACGTCCTAGTTTCGCCTCTGAATGAGCAAAGATATAATTATTAATATTTACTATCGTCTGTTTGTCTCAAAGTTATAATAACATAAACGATGTCCATGAAGAAAATATTCCAAAGCCATCATCAGAGTATATACTTAATATATTAATCCTAACACGGTTTTTACATGCACATGAAAAACATGTGACTTGGACGAGATTTGAACTCGCAGATACGCTCTACCTGTTGAGCTACCAAGCCCACAGGATTGGAGTCGAGTCAAATCTTTTAAACTGCGTATGGACGAGATTCTCGCCACTATAGCAGTTTACTGGATGGCGTGTTTCGACTTCCAAAGCCATCATCAGAGTATATACTTAATATATTAATCCTATGTATATACTCTGATGATGGCTTTGGAATAAAGTCGAAACACGGTGCCATCCAGTAAACTGCTATAGTGGCGAGAATCTCTCGTCCATACGCAGTTTAAAAGAGATTTGACTCGACTCCAATCCCTGTGGGCTTGGTAGCTCAACAGGTAGAGCGGCGGACTAGTATCCCGAAGGTGCGAGTTCAAATCTCGTCCAAGTCACATGTTTTTCATGTGCATGTAAAAACCGTGTTAGGATTAATATATTAAGTATATACTCTGATGATGGCTTTGGAATAAAGTCGAAACAGGGTGCCATCCAGTAAACTGCTATAGTGGCGAGAATCTCTCGTCCATACGCAGTTTAAAAGAGATTTGACTCGACTCCAATCCCTGTGGGCTTGGTAACTCAACAGGTAGAGCGGCGGACTAGTATCCCGAAGGTGCGAGTTCAAATCTCATCCAAGTCACATGTTTTTCATGTGCATGTAAAAACCGTGTTAGGATTAATATATGAAGAAAATATGGTAAATGCAAAATGACATGGTTTAATGCAACGTGATGCTGAAAATGAAATATACAGAGGCCATGGAGTACTGGTGGGGGAGAGATTCCCCAACCTGATTTTTCATTCAAAAAGCAATTTATTGTTTGAAACTCAGCATCCTTAAAATGGAGTATGTTTTTGTTATTCTCTCCAATCTCTGACGCACAAAGTTTCTAAAAAGCGTAAACTAATGATTGACTTATAAGTCATTACGGCAATTAGTAGTTTCTCTGCGAAAACTGATCTTTTTATAAATTCACTTAAATGCTGGAATGCTTGGTATAATTGCTGGTAAAAGCATATATTGTGGTTTATAACTAGCTTTTCTCACTTTTCACAAATTTCATTTGAAAAAAAGCTGTGAAAGTTACATTACCACTGCATTCTTCAAATGTTAAAAACAATGTTGTCAACAATTTGTAATTCTTATTTACAAAACATATTCACTGGTTGCAAGGTTTAGCATTGTTTATGTCTGCACTATCTCTTCAACAATTCATCAAATAAGAGTTTTAAGTACTTCACATTTTTGCGATTGTTTAAGGCGTTCTTAATTACTGGCGGCATACATTTCACTATAAAAAGCCTAGAATGGCGTCTGAATGGCAAAAATTGAAATTTTTCGCTAATGATCAAGTTACGATGTTAAAGCTTCATGTAGATTGCACTGGGGTCTTTTTAACGTGGAACGGATTCTGAAGTGGAAGCACGCCACAGTCTGAAATTACACAGTCTACCGTTGGTAGAGAACCGTCGACATCAATATTTTCTATTTTCTTCACAATGTTCTGAAAAAAATGAGATAAAAAATAATCATGGATCTTTAACCGTTTATAAGGACACTTTTACCAACTTCTGACACCATTGGAAACTCATATACGTTATTGATAAGCAAATTTTAATGCATGTTGACTATCAATTGGAGTTGACTTGATGCAAACTTGGTTTTTTTTATGCATCAAAGTAAATACATGTAACTTTTCCCAAAGGCCAACACAAACAATTAAACGCTGGTAGACTGGGCAATTGAAAAAAGCAGCAAGTCTGATAGAATTCTCAAGCAACTTAATCAGGCTGATGCAAAGCTAACAAAACTCACTGGTTTATTTGGTTATTAACAATCAAAATAAGTTCATCAATGGTTCATCGAAATAGCCTGCAAAATTTTTGAAGTTGTTCCAATAGTATGACCGTTTTGAAAAAATCGCGATGCTTTGCTACTTTCAGTTTTTTAAAGTCTCACCATTCCTTCAAGTATGATACCAAAAATAACATGTTGTCCGTTTAGCCAAGGTGTAAGGACGGTAAATATTGCAAACTGTGAGCCATTGGTATCTTTACCAGCGTTTGCCATGTTGATCCATCCAGCGCCATAATGGTTTAGTCGAAAATTTTCATCATCAAATTTTTCACCATAAATACTCTTACCTAAATAAAAGAGACTAAAATGTGAATGCTTATTCGTTAAAATATTTGTGAAGCCACAATCTCGTGTTCAGGGCAACAATAATAAAAAAAAACAAGAAACGTGCGAGTTTTTGATGTAGATACATTGCTGTGTCAATTTTGTACATGAATTAGAAACGCCTTCCAAATGAAGCAGGTTTTCAAAGTCATAAGCGAAAAATTCAAGTTAAAACAAAATAATATTAATGCTGACATTAACGTACAAGTATACGCAATCCTGCATAAAGGTTGAAAACGTTTCTATGCCAAAAATGTACGTCACGGTAACTAAATTTGTAAAGTTGATGTTGTCACATAAATCCAGGTGATGTACATCTTTGAACACAATTGTTTCAGAGTTCATTATTCACAGTTTGAGCAACAAAGAAAGTGTGTTTCCATTCAGTACTCACCACCTCTTCCATTGCCGTGTGTGAAATCTCCTCCTGTATATGGAAATTTGGAAAATTTGTATTAGTTTATGCTGTAAAGAGGTAAAAAATATTCAGCTGATGAAAACCTTAATGTCATGTGGTTTTCAGTCTCAAAACGTTTCCTTCTACAGCAGTAAACATAAAACCTGGTATGAATTATGTCCGTGAATAGATGTACAATGATTAAAGATCGGTTTTTGTTGTATTTGAAATGATTTCTGCGATGATATTTTGTTAAAAAGCAGTTGTTTTGTCAAAAGGAGATACAGTCCTTAATCACAATTTTTACCTTGTCTTTTTATATAACAGGGTTCGCACAATTCAAGAGTTATAAAATTAAAACACTTTTGAAAAAGTTTATTTGAATTGCATGCAAAGCAAAACTAGCGCAAGAAATCAATAAAAGTGAAAGCTGTCATAATAATTTATAAAATAAACACAATGAAACACGTGCGCTGATTGGTCTAGAGCTGAGTTTGCATTAGCCTGTGCAAAACACATCTGAGCTCAACCAATCAAATCAATCAAAACAATCAATCAGTCAAAGAGAATTTGCAAATCGATCATGAATACATTTTAGAGGAAAAATTAAAATGTTTGTCTTTTTCGCATTATTTCATTTTATAAAAGACATAAAAGATGTTTTTCATGTTTGCACTGGCTTATGCAAACCTCGGAATCGTTTGTGAGAACTCTAGAGCATGTGCATCCTTCGACTTTCGTTCTCGGGCTTGCACTGATCTGCTCTCGAGTTCTCCCTAAGGGCTCCTCGGTTTGCATAAGCCCGTGCAAACACACTTAACATCTTTTATTTCTTAAATAATAATAATAATCAACTTTAGTTCATGAGGGTAACACAAAACACTAAATAGTGGTCCTCCTAAAGTTCCGCAATTAAGATTACAATTTCACCTGCACTTGTGACATTGGAAATTATTACTAAACTTTGATCAAAAATTAGAATTTTTAAGTACATGTCAAGTACATATCAAGAGCTTTCTCAAGTACATCTTCATAAATTCAAGGACTTTCAATGTCTTGAAATTGATATTCAAGAATATTTGTAGGAACAAAATGAGAAGTGATCAAAATTAATATACGTCATGTTGTACTAAGCATCGGTGAAATGATGACGTCGGCGTCTTAGAAAATATATTGCCCATCCTTTCAAACAACGTTACTTGATCTATACCTTGGATCATGAAATCTTTAATGACGCGATGAAATTTGCTGCCTCTGTAACCAAATCCTTTCTAATGCAAAAGAAAAACAAGTGGTGAATTGAGAACGAAATTGATCAAATGCAATTTGAGTTCGGTAATATTATATGAGCAGGAGATGTTTTAATATAGGTATTGTAGCGCCGGTCGGGGAAAGTGGCGTTAGGTCGACCATCGACACTGGGACACTGGAGTGTAAAAGTTCTTGACGACTTAACCTGTAGACATTATGTATGGATAAATAACAATAGATGTTTTAAGACAATGGTCCGCATTAAGGCCCGTGTGGACTGCAAATCATCCCTTAAGGGGCGAGTACTTTTCTATACAGTTCAAGAACTTTCTGCTTCGGCAAAATTTATTAATATACGTTTCAAGCAACTTGTTATTTCTAAAAACTCTGTTTGTAAATCCATATGCACGTCAAGAATATAACACCTCGTGTGTTGCAAGAGCCACAAAATTCCTAACAGTCTTCGGCACAACCTCGCCAAACAAACCAATCACAATGCGTCCTTGCTCTTCTTTGCCAATAGAAATGTTGAAATAAACCTTTTAAATAGAAAATAATAAAATAGAGCGATCATACTTTTGACTGGAGTTTCTGGATGAATGGTGATACTTGGAGTGTATTGAACAGAAATCGAGTTCATTATCAGACAAGTTTATTTCATTCTGGTTAACGGGCATACATCCAAGGATAAAGGATTAACAAAGCTTTGGAACAGTTTCAACAATAATGTCCAAGGATGTCTTTATCGTAGAAAAAAAATTCTATCTAACTTTTTAGAGTAGGTGGAGAGTGGTGAAAATCATAGGGAATGAACAATGATGTCTGTCTTCCGCGGTGATATTAATTATAATACACAGGTACAAAAAATAATCTAAATTTATGTTATACAACTGCAAAGATATGTTAAATATCAAATAAATAGTTGATACATTATTTTATCGTTACTTGAACGATAAATTGATGCAACCTTTTGCCCTTCATTTCATACAAACTATTAAATCTTTGGTTCATGTAGTACGATTTGCTTAGGGTTGACTACTCAATGATAATTTCTTTTCAATATACAAACAAATAAAAGTGAGATTGCTTGGTAAAGTAGCCATAATACATAATTATAAAGATATTCGTCAACGCTACGTATCAATATATCATATGAACTGAATTACTTCTTTGTCTGCTCATTGTTTGACATATAGATCATTTGTAGTTTGTACAACGTTTTCAGCCGTTTACATTATGCTATAGAAAGCCACTAACCTTTTGTGTTACTTTCGGTCCTCGATTGCTGAAGCAATTGACGACTGGGAGTATAAATAATGCAAGCAGTAAAGAAGAGAACCACATCTTAAAATTTGAGTTAACTGAGGATAACGAGCTTTCATAAATTTCTCACAAAAAGACATTTGATCCTATTTTCTACGTAACATAACACCAAATGAAAATCAGAGATGTAAGAGCAACTAGAATTGCACAATTGAAACATCCAGGATCACCCAGGGAGGGGAGAAGCAAAATGAGCAAATTTGCCTCTCGGTCTCAACTATTGCACAGCTTCAAAATAGCGTAAAAAAATAATAAGACATGCGTTAATCATAAACTATCATAAACTTTTTTAAACCATTTGAGAGGGGGAGGGCAGGATGGAGATTGTCAGGCAGCACTAGCAAAAACTGCCACAGAGAAATTTTTCACAAAAAGAATATAGCTCGCTGGAAATATTTTTGTCAATCGTCAAAAGAAATTATTGCAAGAAGTTTTTTGAAAATAAATCGTAGATTTAAAATACAAGTTGCATCAAAACGTAAGTCACTAGTTGCCAATGGCGTCGCCAGCTCGATAATTGAGAGGAATTTTATTCATATATTCATGTTTTTCCGCGTCAAGTTCTTTCGAAATCAGTTGTTTCTTAGGGAATAAAACATGAATATATGAATACTGTCGCCCTCACTTATCGAGCTGGTAACACCACTGCAGTAGTTTCCTGTATTCTGTTAAGTAAACAATATCAGTAAGGAATTCACAGGCAACCGCTGACTTTAATGAGTGAAGGCTTGTTTTCAAAGGTTATTAACAAAATATATTCGCAGGAAATATTTATTTTTGAAGTTTGCTACCAGGAAGGGAAATACTTTATCAAGGCGTGGAGGACAGAAGAAATGAAGAATAGGAAGATTACACGGAAATGCATATTTATCAGGCAATTTAAAAGTAGTTTCAAGAACTATTCATGTCCATTATCATACATAAAATTCCTTATTAACATCAATTCAATGACTCTAAAAGTTCTACTCTACAGCCGACATTCTTTAGTATTTTTACATGCATAGATAGAATATAGATAGAAAGGAAGCGTAGGTAGAACACATAGATGGAAAGTAATCAGACGTACAAAGATTGAAATGAATCGTACTTGAAATTAATACAATCAACTTACGTATCACAGAAAATACTCAATGGCAGATGTACGTATTATTGAAGCATTAGAATTCCATAAATTGACCTCTAATCTGATCTAATGTCATAAAATTATAAATCCAACTCCAGATTGAAGATTAGATTTGGGATCAACATTTAGGATTTCTAAAACATAGATTATTTCAACGCGCGCTACGTACTTCATATGATACGCCAGCAAATCTTAATACCTCGAACCTAAAGCAATGACATCGCATTTTGTCATGGTATAAATTCTGCAAACTATATTGAGCTAGTATCCACTTGTCAAATTGTAAAGCAATACAAACGATGATGATTTGACGTCCGTTTCCTCTTCTCTATTGTTTCGTTTTTAATGACGTGGCTAACCTAAACAAACAATGCACAAATCACTTGATGTTGTGTGTTGTCAGCACTGATCTGAAAATATACTGGATAACGCACGCCGCTATTTCTGTGAAGCCAGAACCGCCATATTGGAAGGTCCCACTTGATATGAAAAACATAATCATAATATTAATCAAAATCATATTTCCACAAAATCTGCTAGGTTTATACATGGCTTTAAGTTCAAAAATTAACAGAAATACGTCGTCATTAAAGCTCTGTCGTATATTAAAATTTGTTTTTACTCCTCAAGTGGGACATAGTAATCAGGTGATAACAACAGGGGCACCCGATTACTTTAGGCTTCAACTTTTGATTGGGCGTTATATTGCAAGGCGGTGTCTAGTTTATTATACATATCTATGGTTGTCATATGACGTTTTCAAGTTGATCGTATATATTGATGAATAAAAGGGTCTGTAATAGAAGTAAATAACTAAAGGAGTTAAAAATGTATCAAACATTGTCTTAGGCGGTTGCAGTATAAAAAAAACGATATCGATATATCAATATTTTTTCGGATATTTTTTTCTTAATTTATAGTAATGCTCGCGATGACACATAGCTAGATCAAATTGAAACTTAGCCAACAATTGGCACGCAGGTGTGATTGGGTAAAGATTGTCTAATAGTATACAAAACCATTTAAAAACCGTCGTAAAGCCCTTAAAAAGCTATTAAAAACTATGTATAATAACTAAATATATCGTAACACCGAATATTTCGGTAACATTTTTCGATATTTTCGGTATATCGATAATTCGATATACCGAAAAAACCAACATCGATAAACCGATATTTATCGATATTTGGATATATCGCAACAGCCTACATAGTCATTGGCTATTCTCGTTTCCTCGAGGCGAGCAGAAAACCCATGTTGACAAACACAGTGCTAGAAATATACCATATAAAATTCGTTTACACTTAAAGAGTTTATGAGACGAAATTTTATCACAAATTTTTTCGATTGTTTAGCAAAGAACATTTAAAATTACTTTATAGCTTTTTTTAGTAAATTAAGTTATTGTAACTTTTTTCTAGCAATATTTCACTTTCTTCTTCATGCAAATGCATCGTTATGACATCACAGAGCATAACGATGCTTTAAAGATCATCAATTATCCACAACGATATAACGTGTCATAAACAAAAAGATCATCAATTATCCACAACGATATAGCGTCTTATAAGCAAAAAGATCATCAATTATCCATAACGATATAACGTCTTATAAACAAAAAGATCATCAATTATCCACAACGATATAACGTGTTATAAACAAACACAACAGCTCAATGAATACATGTGTGCATGAATATTTGTAAAAAGGCCAAAGTTAGATATTTTAACGATAACTGTCGATAAAAATTTGTTTTTACTAATTCAAATTATGCAATGTAATGTCAAAACGATGCTATTTGCATATTGAAGAAAAGTTACATACGTCCAAAAATAAGTAAAAAAAATAACACAATTCCATTAAAGAAGTTGTTAGATAAGTCATTTTAAGTTACCTTTGCAACGCAATCAAAAAACACTACCATAAAAGATTCATGAGTCAACAATTGTAATTATTTTAGCACCGCAATGGTTTGTGCGCTTATATGTACGTAACTTGGAAACAAAACATAGATTCATGATTTCTCCGAAGATTTTATTGGTCTTTCCGATCTATTTTCATATGTTTTTTTTTTAAATAAAATCATTGTTTTCAAGGCTTCAGTTGCCCATTCTAAAATGAACTACATAATGCGGTGAAATAATAGAATTTTGAACAAAAACGCAGCCAAGTCTATAAAATTGTTATTAGGTAATGTATCGCTTCGAAACATGAGCCCAGTAAACAAACAGTCAGCGGTTTGACATAAATCATAAAGCTTGGGTACACTAACCATTCCATGGCTTCCTCTAGACCTTCTCCTTTAAGTGCAGAAGTTTTGAAAATTGACCAAGTTCTACTCTTCAAGGCCGACAATCCTAATGCAGTAGAAACTTCAGTTGCTGACATTGAGCCTTCCATGTCCTGAAGAAAAATTTGTTGATAACATGATTAAATGACACAACAACGGAATTGAGTATTTTTCCATAAACAAATCTTACGTCATTGCATTTCGTAATTCTGGTAACAAAAAAATAATAAAATGCCAACCTGTTTGTTTGCAAACACCATTAATATCGCCTTCTTCAATTCCTCTTCCTAGAAAAGGATTGAAATTTCACAACAATGCAGAAAATCATACTGAATGAAGAACTCTGAATATCATAAATATATAGATCTTTCGCCACAATGTGTGCGCTATTCATGATGCCCGATGCATGACAAGTCGAGCTTATATTTTCAAGATTCACAGAAACTCGCACTAAAACTGCCAATGAAAATGTGTCACCTTCCCAACAAAGAAACAGTGAAATTATTGAAAAATTAAAAATAAAAGAATGAAAAACTTAAAAGAAATATTGTGCAGTTCAATAGCTATGCAAAAACAAAATGTAATAATTGCAACAGTTATCCCTAAGCTATCTCTGTAACAAACATACGACTAACTTTAAGGAAAGATGAAGAAAGGAGAGACCGAAAAAAAATTAAAACGGAAAATACTGGGAATGACCAAGAATGAGGGAAGAATGGCGAGAATACAGTACCGCTCGCGTATTTGTTAACATACGGTACGCGTATGAAACGCGTATGATACGAGAACGACACGCGTATGATACGAGAAAGATACGCGTATGATACGAGAATGATACATGTATGATACGAAAACGATACGCGTATCATACGCAAATTTATGTTAACAAATACGCGAGCGGTACTGTAAATGCCGAATAATTATGAAGGAGGTGGAAAAAACGGGGAATAGGGAGAGGATGGAGGGCAGAGAATAACGATAGAACATAGACGAAAATGTGGGTAGAATGGAATGACACGGTTTATCATCAAATTATTAACAAGAAAATCACTTTATCGTAATTTACCTCAAGCATTGACAATAGTTCTTGTTTACAAATACCAATCCTATCACGATCCGCACTATCCACAACGTAGATCACAGCGTCAGTGTTGGCATAGTAACAGCGCCAATACGGTCTACCAAAATATATAAAATTACAGTTCATGGTTGATAGAGTAGAGCGTAGAACTTGTCTTTCAAAAGGTCTTACCGTATGCTTGTTTGACCTGAAGAGAAATACAATCATTAAAATTCTCTACTCAAAATTGAACAAAACAATAAATAGAGTAAATCTTTAAGACAATGTCAAGAAAGGAGCGGTATGCATGTTGTTGAGACTTCCAAGTCACGTGATTGCAAAATGTCACGGCATATTTCAATCGTAAATTGAATTTTTCACAAAAGCATTTATATGTCAGAAAAATGACCACAACAAAGTTATGAGATGATGAAGAACGCAAAAATAAGTGCATTTTCTGCCTTAGCAAGGCTCAGCACAACATTTGACATATGATTTAGCAAAAAGAGTTCATAATATTAATACGTTTACAATCGGTTCAAATCAATTAATCAATATAAAAAATATACTCAAACTGAAGCATATAAAACACGCGAAAAGTTGCTAGACGTATCATAGTTTAGTGTTGGGATATTTTATGACTGGCTTGACGTTACAACGATTTGATTGGATTTTAAGGTACGCCAAATAAAATAATGTGTCATAGTTGAAAAAATGATTCTTCTGAACTTTTCCATAGTGGTGAGAAAGTTCTCATTTTGTAGCCGGCGCGATGTTTATTCCAACAATGTAAAATTCGCCCCGAGATGATGAACTGCTCATAATTTCTTTTGAAAATCAATGAAAAACGTGCTGCCTTTGCTACTTCAGGTGTAAACCACTGTTATCATCATGAGTGAAAAGCAACTTACCTCCTAAATCCCACACTGCAAAAAAAAACAAAACCAACAAGCATCAATTAGCATGAAGAAACGAAATAAAATCATAACAAGCATTTTACTCGCGTAATTCAATTCAAATACCTTGGAATTTTAAATTTTTGTATGTTACTGTTTCCACGTTGAAACCAATCGCTAATAAAAAAATTCAAAGCAATCAAATTAACACAATTTTTTAACCAAGACTGCAAGCAGTACCGTATGTATCGTAGGCAAAATGAATCATAGCATCACAGTAGCGTATGTATCGTTGGCAAAATTAATCATAACATCACAGTAACGTATGTATCGTGGGCAAAATTAATCATAGTATCACAGTAGCGTATGTATCGTGGGCAAAATTAATCATAGCATCACAGTAACGTATGTATCGTGGGCAAAATTAATCATAGTATCACAGTAGCGTATGTATCGTAGGCAAAATTAATCATAGTATCACAGTAGCGTATGTATCGTAGGCAAAATTAATCATAGTATCACAGTAGCGTATGTATCGTAGGCAATATTAAATCAATCATCATATCAAATTAATCAACATGTATAGGTAGGCAAAATTAATCATAGGCATCATCACAGCGTATGTATCGTAGGCAAAATTAATCATAGCATCACAGTAGCGTATGTATCGTAGGCAAAATTAATCATAACATCACAGTAGCGTATGTATCGTAGGCAAAATTAATCATAGCATCACAGTAGCGCGTATGTATCGTAGGCAAAATTAATCATAGCATCACAGTAACGTATGTATCGTAGGCAAAATTAATCATAGCATCACAGTAGCGCATGTATCGTAGGCAAAATGAATCATAACATCACAGTAGCGTATGTATCGTAGGCAAAATTAATCATAACATCACAGTAGCGTATGTATCGTAGGCAAAATGAATCATAACATCACAGTAGCGTATGTATCGTAGGCAAAATTAATCATAACATCACAGTAGCGTATGTATCGTAGGCAAAATGAATCATAGCATCACAGTAACGTATGTATCGTAGGCAAAATGAATCATAGCATCACAGTAGCGTATGTATCGTTAGCAAAATGAATCATAGCATCACAGTAACGTATGTATCGTAGGCAAAATTAATCATAACATTACAGTAGCGTATCGTAGGCAAAATGAATCATAACATTACAGTAGCGTATGTATCGTAGGCAAAATGTATCATAGTATCGCAGTAACGTATGTATCGTAGGCAAAATTAATCATAACATCACAGTAACGTATGTATCGTTGGCAAAATGAATCATAGCATCACAGTAGCGTATGTATCGTAGGCAAAATTAATCATAACATCACAGTAGCGTATGTATCGTTGGCAAAATTAATCATAACATCACAGTAGCGTATGTATCGTAGGCAAAATTAATCATAACATTACAGCAGCGTATGTATCGTAGGCAAAATGTATCATAACATCACAGTAACGTATGTATCGTAGGCAAAATTAATCATAGTATCACAGTAGCGTATGTATCGTAGGCAAAATCAATCATAGTATCACAATAGCGTATGTATCGTAGGCAAAATTAATCATAGCATCACAGTAGCGTATGTATCGTAGGCAAAATTAATCATAACATCACAGTAACGTATGTATCGTAGGCAAAATTAATCATAGCGTCACAGTAACGTATGTATCGTAGGCAAAATTAATCATAGCGTCACAGTAACGTATGTATCGTAGGAAAAATAATTATAACATCACAGTAACGTATGTATAGTAGGCAAAATTAATCATAGCATCACAGTAGCGTATGTATCGTAGGCAAAATTAATCATAACATCACAGTAACGTATGCATCGTAGGCAAAATTAATCATAGCATCATAGTAGCGCATGTATCGTAGGCAAAATGAATCATAGCATCACAGTAACGTATGTATCGTAGGCAAAATGAATCATAGCATCACAGTAGCGCATGTATCATAGGCAAAATGAATCATAACATCATAGTAGCGTATGTATCGTAGGCAAAATTAATCATAACATCATAGTAGCGTATGTATCGTAGGCAAAATGAATCACAACATCACAGTAACGTATGTATCGTAGGCAAAATTAATCATAACATCATAGTAGCGTATGTATCGTAGGCAAAATGAATCATAGCATCACAGTAACGTATGTATCGTAGGCAAAATGAATCATAGCATCACAGTAGCGTATGTATCGTTAGCAAAATGAATCATAGCATCACAGTAACGTATGTATCGTAGGCAAAATTAATCATAACATTACAGTAGCGTATGTATCGTAGGCAAAATGAATCATAACATTACAGCAGCGTATGTATCGTAGGCAAAATGTATCATAGTATCGCAGTAACGTATGTATCGTAGGCAAAATTAATCATAACATCACAGTAACGTATGTATCGTTGGCAAAATGAATCATAGCATCACAGTAGCGTATGTATCGTAGGCAAAATTAATCATAACATCACAGTAGCGTATGTATCGTTGGCAAAATTAATCATAACATCACAGTAGCGTATGTATCGTAGGCAAAATTAATCATAACATTACAGCAGCGTATGTATCGTAGGCAAAATGTATCATAACATCACAGTAACGTATGTATCGTAGGCAAAATGAATCATAGCGTCACAGTAACGTATGTATCGTTGGCAAAATTAATCATAGCATCACAGTAGCGTATGTATCGTAGGCAAAATGAATCATAGCATCACAGTAACGAATGTATCGTTGGCAAAATGAATCATAGCATCACAGTAGCGTATGTATCGTTGGCAAAATGAATCATAGCATCACAGTAGCGTATGTATCGTAGGCAAAATGAATCATAGCATCACAGTAGCGTATGTATCGTTGGCAAAATTAATCATAGCATCACAGTAGCGTATGTATCGTAGGCAAAATTAATCATAACATCACAGTAGCGTATGTATCGTTGGCAAAATTAATCATAACATCACAGTAGCGTATGTATCGTTGGCAAAATTAATCATAACATCACAGTAGCGTATGTATCGTAGGCAAAATTAATCATAACATCACAGTAGCGTATGTATCGTAGGCAAAATTAATCATAACATTACAGCAGCGTATGTATCGTAGGCAAAATGTATCATAACATCACAGTAACGTATGTATCGTAGGCAAAATGAATCATAGCGTCACAGTAACGTATGTATCGTTGGCAAAATTAATCATAGCATCACAGTAGCGTATGTATCGTTGGCAAAATGAATCATAGCATCACAGTAGCGTATGTATCGTAGGCAAAATTAACCATAGCATCACAGTAGCCTATATATCGTAGGCAAAATGAATCATAGCGTCACAGTAGCGTATGTATCGTAGGCAAAATTAATCATAGCATCACAGTAGCGTATGTATCGTAGGCAAAATTAATCATAACATCACAGTAGTATGTATCATTGGCAAAATGAATCATAGCATCACAGTAGCGTATGTATCGTAGGCAAAATTAATCATAACATCACAGTAGCGTATGTATCATTGGCAAAATGAATCATAGCGTCACAGTAGCGTATGTATCGTAGGCAAAATTAATCATAGCATCACAGTAGCGTATGTATCGTAGGCAAAATTAATCATAGCATCACAGTAGCGTATGTATCATTGGCAAAATGAATCATAGCATCACAGTAGCGTATGTATCGTAGGCAAAATTAATCATAACATCACAGTAGCGTATGTATCGTTGGCATAACATTACAGCAGCGTATGTATCGTAGGCAAAATGTATCATAACATCACAGTAACGTATGTATCGTAGGCAAAATGAATCATAGCGTCACAGTAACGTATGTATCGTAGGCAAAATGAATCATAGCATCACAGTAGCGTATGTATCGTTGGCAAAATGAATCATAGCATCACAGTAGCGTATGTATCGTAGGCAAAATGAATCATAGCATCACAGTAGCGTATGTATCGTTGGCAAAATTAATCATAGTATCACAGTAGCGTATGTATCGTAGGCAAAATGAATCATAGCATCACAGTAGCGTATGTATCGTTGGCAAAATTAATCATAACATCACAGTAACGTATGTATCGTGGGCAAAATTAATCATAGCATCACAGTAACGTATGTATCGTGGGCAAAATTAATCATAGTATCACAGTAGCGTATGTATCGTAGGCAAAATTAATCATAGCATCACAGTAGCGTATGTATCGTAGGCAAAATTAATCATAGCATCACAGTAGCGTATGTATCGTAGGCAAAATCAATCATAGTATCACAGTAGCGTATGTATCGTAGGCAAAATTAATCATAGCATCACAGTAGCGTATGTATCGTAGGCAAAATTAATCATAACATCACAGTAGCGTATGTATCGTAGGCAAAATGAGTCATAACATCAGAGTAGCGTATGTATCGTAGGCAAAATTAATCATAACATCACAGTAGCGTATGTATCGTAGGCAAAATTAATCATAGCATCACAGTAGCGTATGTATCGTAGGCAAAATTAATCATAGCATCACAGTAGCGTATGTATCGTAGGCAAAATTAATCATAGCATCACAGTAGCGTATGTATCGTTGGCAAAATGAATCATAACATCACAGTAGCGTATGTATCGTTGGCAAAATTAATCATAGCATCACAGTAACGTATGTATCGTGGGCAAAATTAATCATAGCATCACAGTAGCGTATGTATCGTAGGCAAAATTAATCATAGTATCACAGTAGCGTATGTATCGTAGGCAAAATTAATCATAGCATCACAGTAGCGTATGTATCGTAGGCAAAATCAATCATAGCATCACAGTAAGCGTATGTATCGTAGGCAAAATTAATCATAGCGTCACAGTAGCGTATGTATCGTAGGCAAATTAATCATAACATCACAGTAGCGTATGTATCGTGGCAAAATTAATCATAACATCACAGTAGTATCACATAGCATCAACGTATAGGTATCACATCACAGCGTAATCGTAATTAATCATAGCATCACAGTAGCGTATGTATCATCAGTATGTATCGTAGGCAAAATTAATCATAGCATCACAGTAACGTATGTATCGTAGGCAAAATGAATCATAGCATCACAGTAGCGTATGTATCGTAGGCAAAATTAATCATAGCATCACAGTAACGTATGTATCGTAGGCAAAATGAATCATAGCGTTACAGTAGCGTATGTATCGTAGGCAAAATTAATCATAGCATCACAGTAGCGTATGTATCGTAGGCAAAATTAATCATAGCGTCACAGTAACGTATGTATCGTAGGCCAAATTAATCATAGCATTACAGTAACGTATGTATCGTAGGCAAATTAATCATAGCATCACAGTAGCGTATGTATCGTAGGCAAAATTAATCATAGCGTCACAGTAACGTATGTATCGTAGGCCAAATTAATCATAGCGTCACAGTAGCGTATGTATCGTAGGCAAAATGAATCATAGCGTCACAGTAGCGTATGTATCGTTGGCAAAATGAATCATAACGTCACAGTAACGCATGTATCGTTGGCAAAATTAATCATAGCGTCACAGTAACGTATGTATCGTAGGCAAAATTAATCATAACATCACAGTAGCGTATGTATCGTTGGCAAAATTAATCATAACATCACAGTAGCGTATGTATCGTAGGCAAAATTAATCATAACATCACAGCAGCGTATGTATCGTAGGCAAAATGTATCATAACATCACAGTAACGTATGTATCGTAGGCAAAATGAATCATAGCGTCACAGTAACGTATGTATCGTTGGCAAAATTAATCATAGCGTCACAGTAACGCATGTATCGTTGGCAAAATTAATCATAGCGTCACAGTAACGTATGTATCGTAGGCAAAATTAATCATAACATCACAGTAGCGTATGTATCGTTGGCAAAATTAATCATAACATCACAGTAACGTATGTATCGTAGGGCAAAATTAATCATAACATTACAGCAGCGTATGTATCGTAGGCAAAATGAATCATAACATCACAGTAACGTATATCGTAGGCAAAATGAATCATAGCGTCACAGTAACGTATGTATCGTTGGCAAAATTAATCATAGCATCACAGTAGCGTATGTATCGTAGGCAAAATGAATCATCATAGTATCACAGTAAATGTATCGTAGGCAAAATGAATCATAGCATCACAGTAGGCGTATGAAATCGTTGGCAAAATGTATCATAAAATCAACAGTAGCGTATGTATTAATCAAAATGTATGTATCAGTGGCAAAATGTATCAGGCATGAATCATAGCATCACAGTAGCGTATGTATCGTAGGCAAAATGAATCATAGCATCACAGTAGCGTATGCAAAATCGTCATAGGCAAAAAATCATAGCAAAATAACAGTAGCGTATGTATCGTATGCAAAATGAATCATAGCATCACAGTAGCGTATGTATCGTTGGCAAAATTAATCAAACATCACAGTAACGTATGTATCGTGGGCAAAATGAATCATAGCATCACAGTAGCGTATGTATCGTAGGCAAAATGAATCATAGCATCACAGTAGCGTATGTATCGTTGGCAAAATGAATCATAGCATCACAGTAGCGTATGTATCGTTGGCAAAATGAATCATAAGCATCACAGGCGTATGTATCGTGGGCAAAATGAATCATAGCATCACAGTAGCGTATGTATCGTGGCAAAATTAATCATAGCATCACAGTAGCGTATGTATCGTAGGCAAAATTAATCATAGCATCACAGTAGCGTATGTATCGTGGGCAAAATTAATCATAGTATCACAGTAGCGTATGTATCGTAGGCAAAATGAATCATAGCATCACAGTAGCGTATGTATCGTAGGCAAAATTAATCATAGCATCACAGTAGCGTATGTATCGTAGGCAAAATTAATCATAACATCACAGTAGCGTATGTATCGTAGGCAAAATGAATCATAGCATCACAGTAGCGTATGTATCGTAGGCAAAATTAATCATAGCATCACAGTAACGTATGTATCGTAGGCAAAATTAATCATAGCATCACAGTAGCGTATGTATCGTAGGCAAAATAATCATAGCATCACAGTAGCGTATGTATCGTAGGCAAAATTAATCATAGCATCACAGTAGCGTATGTATCGTAGGCAAAATTAAATCAGTAGTATCAAGGTAATGTATCATATCGTAGGCAAATTAATCAAGCGTCACAGTAGCGTATGTATCGTAGGCAAAATTAATCATAGCATCACAGTAGCGTATGTATCGTAAAATTAATCATAGTCACAGTACATGTATCGTGGCAAAATTAATCATAGCGTCACAGCGTATGTATCGTGGGTTAAATATGGAATCAAATAGCGTATGTATCGTGGGCAAAATGAATCATCACAGTAGCGTATGTATCGTTGGCAAAATGAATTGTAGGCAAAATGTATTGTAGGCAAAATGAATCATAGCATCACAGTAGCGTATGTATCGTAGGCAAAATGAATCATAGCATCACAGTAGCGTATGTATCGTTGGCAAATTAATCATAGCATCGCAGTAGCGTATGTATGTATGTGAAGCAAATAATTGAAGTCAAATCATAAACCTAGACACGCGAGACTTTACCCCAGACACGCGTGTGTAGTGTTTCGAGATCCTCTCACGGAGTGAAAATGATTACTACACATGCGTGTCTGGGGTAAAATCACGGCTTCAAAAAATTATTAGGGTTTTGTATTACAGATAGCGTTCCATATATTTTAGCACAAATGATAAAACTACGGTGTCATAACATACTTGGTATAGTTGTCACAACTTCACCCACTTGAAGCCTGGATAAAAAGAATAGTTTCAATTATTATTAAAGCCACAAAAGTTATAGCTAACACTACACGTAATGTAACAAGATAGTACAACAACAGACAGGATTTGTATTTTTCTGTATAGTGCAAGTTGTAGAGTGATATATTTTAAAAACCGAAACATGTTTTCAACAGGTTCTTACTAAGATCTGAAAATACAAGTAAGATCTTACTAAAATCTGACTTAAGATCCTATACGATCTCAGTTAAGTTCCTATACTAGATTTTGTTTAAGATCCTATTGAGATCCTTATAGGATCTTACATGATCTTATTGAGATAATCCCAGGATCTTACTTAAGATTTTTTTAAGATCTTACTGAAGATCTCTACAAGGGAAATTTTTTTTACAGCCACAAAACTAAAATTGCATGTGTGAAGGTATTTAGGGTTGTGCAAAGCAATAGCAAATGGCTGAACTGAACCATCATTGCAGGTTTGTATTCTTTATGCTGCTTTTTTTGGTCTTAACTAAATTAGTCGCCTAAATTGATTCACTATGATTATCAGCCATTGGAATATCAGAAATCCTAGACTAGAACAATATAATTCAAGTCTATTTCTCCTTAGAAATTTAAGCAAGTTAGGCGATTTATCTTGACAGTTTAGGGCTCTTGAACAGGAAAATAAATGATTAACCATACAATATTTGTAAAACATAAATTTCTGAGGAATAAATAAAGAGGTATGTTCAGATGCAATGTACATTAGTTATAAACTGTATTACTGTTGTGGCAAATATACTGTGGGATGTTAATTGATCGAGGTTGTCCTGTTTCTATAACTAGAATTTTAAACAAAGTTTAAACAGGGATTAAAAACTATTTTCCAATCATGCAGGTCTCAAACTCAAGTTCTGACATGCTCTTATAGATCGGTCTTGCAGAAGGGTGTTATATACAAAATTTGTTATAGGTATCTTAAATAATCATTCTGATTGCTTTATTGATCTTCAAAACCATCAAGTACCTATAAAGTATTGTAGTCTTTCCAGCACCATCTAGACCCAGGATGAGAATTCGCATTTCTTTTGATCCAAACAAGGATGCAAGCAAATTTGAAAAAAATCCACCTGAGGAAATATGAAAACAAAATAAATTTAATGACTATGTCAGAATTGCAGTAAAGTAAGTCAGAATTTGTAAGAGGACAAGAAATCACAATATGACAACAAAAACAAAGTAGTGTAGAAAGTAAAGTATTTTCAATTAAAAATATAGTCATCATCAATTGGGTACAATACCCTGGACCCATGCTGGGCATTGGACATGTATCTTGAACATGCATTTATTGCAATGGAATTGAAAATGCATGCTACTCACAAGAAATTTTTCCTAAACTCCATTGTTGTGTTATATAAAATCCATAATGGGCTTTTGAATATCCATATTGGGTTTTCATAAATCAACATTCTCTATCCGTGAATGGATATATTTCCCCTTTTTCATTATTTGTTATTCAAAATGGGCATGACGTAAATTCCATGAAAAATACAATGCTCAATTTTTTAAAAAGTTTCCTGTGACTATTAACTATAATTATTCAAAGGTTGGTGAAGACAAGCTTTTAGCTGGTAGCTCTCTCATGTTATCTACATTTTATTCCATCATCAGAGTATATACATAAATTATATATTTATGTATATACTCTGATGTTGGCTTTGGAATGAAGTCAAAACACTGTGCCATCCAGTAAACTGCTATAGTGGCGAGAATCTCTCGTCCATATGCAGTTTAAAAAGAGATTTGACTCGTCTCCAATCCATGTGGGCTTGGTAGCTCAACAGGTAGAGCGGCGGACTAGTATCCCGAAGGTGCGAGTTCAAATCTCGTCCAAGTCACATGTTTTTCATGTGCATATTTAAAACCTTTTTAAGATTAATATATTATGTATGTTATCTACATATGAAAGACTTTCAGCATTAGTATGAAAATGAGCACAATTTATGACTGAGCATATCACTATTGTTAATGTCAACATCTTTCAAAATACTTTGTAAAAATATAACAGCACAAAATGATCTTAGGCAGTGGAAATGTCTAACCTTCAACTAAAAAGCATATGTTCTTCATAATATGGGATAGACAAGGATCGACTTGTGATAGTAAGGATCAATATATTCAGTTACAAGGTTTGCAAAGAGCTTTTGCTATGAGTTGTTTGTTCAACAACCTATCTCAGTTGAATGTTACGGAGGGAGTCAATAAACTATCTCTCTATGTATGAAAATGATGGTCTTATCAAAAGATGTATGTTGCCAAAGAGCTAACTTAGACACCACACATAACATACAAGAAAACAATATTTCATGCATTAAAAAAATACAGTTAAAACAAAATTTCTCAAAATATACTGATAATGTTTCGTTTACTCACCCATTTTCGATGCTTTTTTTGCTTGAAAGATTAATATTTTTGTAGAAGAGTTAACTACTTAACTTGTATTCGTGGCTTTTTAACGTACGACCGCTGACCGCTTGAACTACTTACCCGTCAAAAGAACTGGTACGCTCAGTGAACCCCACTGTATTGTAAGTTGTTAGTTGTATGAGAGTTCACTGGGTACGCCTGAAGAGCGGAGGTGGTATAACCTGGTCTCAAGAATAAATGTTTCTTTTTCTAGGGAAAAAACCTTACGTTAGTTTAGTCTGCAGATTCTATTTTACTCCTCTTTGATTGGGAGCTTTCATTCACACGGAAGACGAGGGCAAGCTTCCTTCCAGTGAATCTGTGCAGAAGGTTGGGCCAAGCATCACAAATTTTCAATATTTTTTTGCATTTTTTTCCAAAGTCATGGATGCAATGTTTGAGAATTTCATGGAAAAGCATCAAAAACTTATCTTCGAGAACAAATTCCACAATTCGTTTGTTTGCCGGTTTTCAAAAAATCTAAAACACAAAATTGAGACGATCGACAATGATACATACTAGAACAGTGTCAACAGGAAGCACGTAACAAGAAAATCGGTTGAAAGTAATCACGTTTATGTATGAATTTCCACAATAACGGATCTTGCGTTTGTCAAATCAAATTATCGCTCCTCCATTTTAAATTCAAAATACTTTCAGTACGACTCTATTGAATTTGAAATTCTAAGGAATAAGAATATTACCAATAGACTTGCTTGTAAAGTACTTAGAAATGTATTTATATAGAAAAAATGTTATTCATCAATTTATTTTGATTTACTCTTGATCCGCCACTGAATTTCCCAGTATAATTACGTCACAGAATTCCCAGAAAAACTAGCAAATTGCTGCAAGTTCAAATTTTACGTGTACGCTGACTCAGCACTATGCTGAGATTTCTACTGATGTTTGTCCCTATGATGTTGCATGATAAAGAGACATGTTAATTTATTCACATTTTTTTTTCAATGCCAATTTTCTTCAATATTATGGTGTGGATAGTGTTATAAATTCCTTATGGCTTTATGCATTTGGCTCAAAATATAAAATCATCGTACGCGTGTTGATGGGCTACAAATCAGTATTTAACATATTTAACGAAGGAGTCTGTAAACTTTTGAAAATGTTTTGCAGCTGTTATTCGTTTTGGGTTTTAATTGATTGGACATTTATCTAAAAAATTCTAATGCAAAAAGTATTCTAATGTATTCTAAAGTATTCTAAACAAATTCTATTGTATACAAGGCAGGTGTGATGTTATTAATAAAATAAAGGCAACAGAAATTCTGCTTCAGGTATAAACTGGTCCTCCATTTCAGGCCTACTTTTGGGAAATTTTCCAATTATAAGATGAGTTTGCCAAACATTGGATCGTTCAAAGTCTTTTCTGCCTCCTTACTAATTTAAGTCCAACTGAGGTTGCCAAACATTGAATCGTTCAAAGTCTTTTCTGCCTCCTTACTAATTGAGGTCCAACTGAATTTGCTACACACGTTATTCATTGGATTAGCAGGATTAAGTATCAAAAGTCTACAGAAATTAGAATTTCAGTTTGTTTATACTGAACATAAAATGAATGTGGGGGGAGTGGTTTCATGTATGCATTTGCTATGAAATTGTTCAATACAGTGAAATAGTAAAGCGTAACACCAGTAAAAAATCAAATTCCATGAGTTTCATGGAACAAAAACAAGTTACCTTTGCTTCTCGATATAATATGGAACATCGTATTGGCTTTAATTGTTGCACCACATGACATCGAGAGATTTATACTCAGTTGTAGCCCTTAGTACAGAGAGAAATGTTTGCAATGTATCAAATGTGACTTTTCCCCCATTCTTTTCCTACATGTGAATGGTAAGCAGTTCCATGACATACGATGTCGGAATTTTGTGATCACTCCAAACAAAAGATGTTATCGTGGTTTTTTTCCAGGTCATAGGCTATATAAATTACATTCCCTAATTTAAAATTCAAAACACCTTCCTAATAATAGCATTGCTTATGAACTTGAATAGTATAAAAGCCGTATCACCGTGAGAAAAAAAGTTTTTCTACAGACATGGACAGTGTATTGCTGGCTATAATTCGCTCTAAAAAGGACATGCAAAAAGGAATATACATACTTTCATCACTTCTCGAGGATTAAAATCGTCTTTTAAAAAAGAGCAAATTTCGTCCACTTGCAGTGAAGTTATCGTATAGTAGTGCTTCTTTCATCGTACATGAATTGAAGAAGCGGATACGAAGCTTTTTACTCTGATGAAATATGCTATTGTCATATCTGAAGAAACAGTTATGGTGAGAAAGTGAAGTTACCTTTGTAGAGATAATATTGATATCAGATCTACAATTCTCTCTCACAATAAAAAAAAAGAAAGAAACGGTACTTTGGTATTTACCCAATTTGGCTACTAATCATGTGTCCAACTTCTTCAAGAATGAAAAAAAATTGTTTTGGAAAACCATGATGCATAAGAATACCAAGCTAATTGAACAAGTTGCTGGACTAGAAAACGCTGCAGTATTAAGCCACAGTGTTTATTACACAATGGGAAATTTGTATGCGTCTTTAAGGAAACATATAAGGGTCGACGTATTAGTAGACAAACTGGGCTACAAGATATTTGTTGAGAAAGTCGAGCGAGAAAAATAGAAAGCTTCCTGATCTCATTGTTTTTCTTCCTTGCAAAAGGAAACTCCAATAACGCACCACTAAAGATAATCATGCTGCACACATGTACCAGTGATTAACTAAGTCAATGGGATGACTGAAAAAACATTGTTGGTGATTCAACTGTCATACCGATTACTTATATCTGAACTTCTAGTCAGTGCAGAGGACATGAACATATATCAAAAACATATGCATGATAATGGCAACAATTTATGCGCCTGGCCTATGGCAATACTATCTTCAATTCGTAAATAACCTAACACTCCTAATCATAATTGTAAATAACTTCCGCTTCCATCTCTTTTGTCTATACACTTGTCATGTATGAAATTTCTTTATATATTATCTTTAAAAAAATATTTCATTCTTCAAACCGCACTGAAGATGGCATAAGTTTGCCGAAACATGTTTGCAATAAAAAATTTAAAAAATTTTATTGGAAACAAAATAATTGTGATGAACATGCCACGATGTAAAGCTCACCATGTACTTTTAAGATCCCCAGTAATTACTAAAGTACACTGTTATATTTAACTCGATCATGCACTATTCCCATATACGTGAATGAACGTTGAAAATCTTGCAGTAAGAAATAACTTGAACCTAACAGCTTTATGCCAAGATAAAACCTGGCCAATGGTTAAACTAGCTAATGCTGAAATTAATGTTCATTAATATATTGCTTTGCGACTGTTTAAAATTTTAAATAAGGAAGACAATGCGAAGAAAGGAAAATAAGCTTTAGACAAAACTAAGATCTTAACTCGAGAAAATAATTTTACTACTGAGTGTATTTAAAGCGATGATATTTTAAAATAGCAAACAAAATTACAGGTTAAAAAAAAAGTGCAAGCGTTTAAAAAAATGACTACACGATTAAAGCTACATTTACACTGTGTAAAAGGAATTTCTGAAATCCATAATCCATCCAGAAATAGTTACTATTTACTGTCACCCTTTACGTCTTTGTCTTGGAAAATCATCCTGAAGATTTTGTCACGTTTTTTTCTACTTGAAATTGTTCTATGGTCAACATCCTCACCGTTGCTTCCTATATTTCTGAAGATTACATCGCATTTTTTTCTACCTGCGGTGACGTATTATGTGAAAACAGAATACAAAGATTAGCGACAAAGTTATTGTAATTAGAATCGACTTTTAATGGCTGTTAACTCTTACATGAGAAGATGAAAGTTGACTCACAAAAAACGTATAAAATATAGATTTAGGAAAGTTATTTTTTTTGTTCGAGCAGGAGCTAGAACATTTTTTGTCAAAACTTGCTTGAAAGGCAATATATGTATATACAGCAGGAATGAGATTGTTTTTTTTGTAAGTCGGCTTTTATCCCCTGATGTTGTCCTCTTACCTCGACAACACATATTTGATGTGCCGTCAGTCAAAGTCTTGAACTTCATGGCTTGTACAATGACGATCAATGAAAGTGTTGCAAAAAAAATACGCAAATGATTCATATTGTTAGCAAAGTTTCTATAAGAAGAGAAATGGTTTCATGTAGGTACATTTCATTTGTTTGAATTTGCAATGAGTTTTGACTATACTTCATCTAATAACAATAACACAACAACAGAACGCATGCGCTGCTTTCTTAATAGCTGAATTTGGAAAAGCCTGTGCAGACTGATTTCAACTCAATCAATTAAATCACAGAAGAGACTTTACAAATCATTTATAAATACATATTAAAAAAATTTATGACATTTATTTTAAATTTGTTTGTTTGCATTGTTGCTTTTTTAGAAATAACTTATAGAATTTTTTTTTTTGTTTGAATTGCCTCAATTTCAAAGCAGGTTACTGATAAAATCTGATATGTATCACTCAATATATATTAATGATAATTCAAATTTTCAGTAGTTTTTAGTTCTAATGTACAAACACGCTGTTAGTTTATAAAACAAATTATTAACAAAACCAACTGGAGTATATGTATATAAGTTAATTAGCTGTTGTAGCAACAAAGCAAATGATGTATAAAGTATAAAATTGTGTCAATTATTCTTTACTAATTAATATATCTATAGCCAAATAATGATTAATAACTATGATAATGAATAATAATAATGATAACTTATAATTCAACTTGATTATAAAATGTTGAACCAGTATGACAAAAATTTCTAATCATCTTACAGAAAAGATTTTTTAAAACTACAAAGGACTGTCTTCAAGTCAGCTTTCGGGAGAATAAAGTTTGTTCTAGAAAATTCAGCAGGTTTGTAGCATAGCAACAAAAATTAGCATGATTTCAAGATATGTAAATTAGGAAATGACCAGCAATAAAGTTTCTAATAATATTTGTGTTCAAAAGAAAGTAATCTACCTTCATTTGTAAAATAAAGTATATTACAATTTTACTAGATTAATTTACTCACAACTTTATGGCATTTAACCATATAAAGTCCCGATGTAAAAGGAGAATTCGCAGTTGTTTGAATTTTTCTAGCTATGAAATATAAATAATCTTTACTAACAATGTCTATTCGAGGATTAAGGCTTAGTTTTGTGTTTGATATTTGCATGAAACGAAAAGAATTCTTGAAGGATATAGAAATCGTAGTTTCTTTTAATTTCACGACGTTACGATGATCTAATTAGGGTTTGCATTTTTATTTTGTGGGTGTGAGCGTGATCAAGTGCATTGAAACTTACGAAATGTTTTCCTTTATTTACTTTTTTAAGTGTATTTCCCATCAGCCCGTAAAACTATGGATTGAGAGTTGGAGGAGCATTAAAACCTTGAGGAGATTTTAAAAAAAAGCTATTTTCTCTACACTCGTGAAAAACTCTTTGAATGCGTAATCAGGTCATGCATGATCATTTACTGTCCATTCCTTACATTATTGCCTTGACCTAATCGAAATAATAATAATACACATAATTATATCCAGTCGCCGAGGGCACTCTAATTTATATGTCATTATCTGCTCAATCAAGACAAGCTTTGTTCACCAGAAAGAGTTACGAGCTTACGATATAAGTGCGTTTAAGCAAACGTTTCGTATGTTCAAAATATTTGTGTGAATTTTTGCCTTTCGCTCACATCAAGTCAAATAGTGTTACTCTGTAAAGGTTCGTAAAAGTGCAAGCCACATAGGTTCAACATATTTTAATGTCGTTAGAGAAGCGGTTCATAGAAGGTCAAGCAGAACACATTATTGAAATATATATTTCTTGGACGATATAGAAATCGTAATTTCTTTTAATTTCACGACGTTACGATTATGTAATTAGGGTTTGCATTTTTTTGTGTGGGTGTTAGTGTGATCAAGTGCACTGAAACTTACGAAATGTTTTACTTTATTTACTTTTTATGTGCATTTCCCGTCGGCCATTGAATTAGGGATTAACTCAATAAAAAGATATTAACAGAAGCTTTTTTTTCCCCTGTCAATAGTGAAAAACTCTTTCAATGGGTAATCAGGTCATGAATAATTATTTACTGTGCATCCTTACGTTGTTGCTTAGACCAGATCGAAATAAGAAATTGATCTTCCTTAACTTAGCTGTAAGGCGTATATATACACATCAATTTACTATTTCAACATCAATCAAGATACAGATTTGGTTGCCAGAAAGAGTTACGACAGAAATTTGTTAGAGCAAACGTTTCGTATGTTGAAAATATCTGTGCAAATTTTTGCCTTTTATTTACATAAAATCAAATAGTGTTACTATGTAAAGGTTCGCAAAAGTGCAAGCCTCATAGGTTCAACATATTTTAATGCCGTTAGAGAAGCGGTCCACAACAGGTCATGCAGAACATATTGTTAAAGTGTATATTTTCAATTTACTGTACAATACACTAATCCTATTGAAAGTATTTTAGCCACAAATATACTTTACTAATTTCTAACGAACAGTGTTGCTACAAAAGCTATTTGAAATTTAAATATATTCCTTAAATATTTGACTTACCTTAGATCTGCCACTGTGTCCTTTGTGTTCGTCACTTTAAAGATAATTGTCTCCGCCAGCGGATATATTTTATATTCTGTTTATTTAATATGCATGACTAAACACTATATTTTAATAAGTAATACGCGTGTAGTCAGAATGTAGCGGCAGACCTGAGTATCTTACCAAACATGAAGTGTCTAAAAATGTGAAAAGAACATTGTAGAACGGCCTTCTTTGTCATTTCAAATCTTTCCTCTAGAGGTGATTTAATCGTAAACCTAGTGTCATAAAAATGAACGTTTCATGGACAAATTAAATTCTTTCATTAAAACTTTTCCGATTTATAGGAGATCGCTTCAGTGAGATTACTGTGAGATGTAAATAGAGTGAAGATTTGCTTGCTTTCCAAATATCGTTACATTGTTGAAGACAGTTAACAACCTTTTGAACACGCAAATTGAGGCTTACCACATGTTTTACCTTGGGGAAATGTTAATCAAATAGCAATCTTGTTTTAGGGTTAATAAAATATTTCACAAACTAGTTTGGATGGGAGAAAGGGATTCACGTTGTAGCATCGCATAAATCGTGTCTTATAGATTTAAAATATTGTAAACTCTTATCTAAAAACATCACCAAACTTAAGTAAAAATTATTGAAAATCCACAATTGTGTTTCTTCGATGTCATTCTTCTTTTGCATCGCTTAATGGTCTCTTCACCTCTTGAAGTGATGTAGGAAGTAATGTAAAAGTTAGTATATATTCACTTTACGAAATCAATCAATCAAATGCGTTATAAATATGTTAAATATAATTTAGCCCTTTCACGTTTTTAAAATGTGTGAATTCAAAGTTTTTTTCTATATTATTATACAAATGTTCAGTGGAATCTGTCATATTTTAACACTGTATAGTGTTTTATCCTCATTTACTCAGACTATACATGCAATTAATTGCTATAACTGCATTTGCCTAAACAGAAAAATTTATTATTTGTGATACATTTATTTACGTGTCTTACTATTTTTCATTTGGTTTTGCTTTGTTGATTAAATGACGTAGCATCCGTGCAGTCTAAAGACAGGTGATACGTCAGCAACAGTCTAAAGATGAATAATACGTCAGCAACAGCCTAAAGACAGATGATACGTCTGGACGACTTAAGACGATCCAATTTTTTGATGTGTCTCTTAAAACGTCGGAAGGATAAATATTCTTATAAAACGAATTATTCGTCCGGACAACTTCACGGTTCAATTCGTCTTAACAGACAAACAGTAAACTGTAAGTAAAAGCTGCTTTTCGCATCGTATGCATGTGTCTCGCGTGGACAGTTTTTTCTGCGTGACACTTGACACATACTAGCTAGTAACTGGTTGCCTATGTTACCTAAAATATAAAATGAAAACATTGCTTCAAGATTTGAATTTTTGATTTGTCATCGGAAGACCAAATTTTTTTGACATAAAGGGTAGACCACACCGTTGAATGTAGTACAAAATACAGTTTAAACTGCTTTTTGTTTGACCTTTTCGTGAACTTGAATGCCGTTTTGTGTTAAACCTTATCAACAACACACCCTTACTTATACACGCACAATTTTTTTATGCTCTTTGTTGTCTCTAATAGACCCTTTGGCTCAAAAAAACAACAAAATTGCTAAAATTTTGACATTTTGCATAGAAAATCTCGGAACAAAAGTTTGATAATATTTTATGACACAGTAATTTACAACATACTGAATATTTAAGCAATTTCGTTTCGCAAGAGCCAAACTAAAAGATTACAGCTTCGCCCAATGGTCTATAGGGACCGAATGAGAAAAGAGCATTTGGCAGTGGTCCGGATATGCTTAGCTTTAAATAGTGTGTTCACATTGTGTATCGAAAAATGAAAATTTAATTTGACATTGGATGTTTGCATGAAACCAAGAGAATTTTTAATGTATAGTAGTTATAGTATGATTCCTAAAGTATAGTTATTTTAAATTTCATTACTCCTGCATGTCAGGAGGTCAGAGTTATGTAATCTTGATTTGCTTTTTGTGTGAGTTTGCATATGATCAAGTGCTTTTAAACCTACCAAATTTTTTTATAACTTCGCGAGTATAGTTCTTGCTGGCCATAGTGAACTAATGATTGAAATTTTGGACTAAAATTAAAACTTAAAGGAGAAAATAACGAAAAGTTTTTGCTTTAGTGATTTTCCTTTTTAATTTTCCATCCCTTTAAAAACTTTATAAACTATTCCTATTTGAATGATGGAGAATTCTAACAAAACAACAATTGGAAACGAAATGATTTAAAATAACCCGACATTTAAATATCAAGCACTTGCATACCCATTAGCCAATTTTGTTAAAATTTGTCAACTTGAACAACTTATACCATAATTTAACCCCATGTGCTCCAACTGTTTTTTATCTGACTCATTTTTTGTGCAAGCTAATTTGAAAGTGTTTCTTGGTAACACAATTTTTATGTTAAAAATGTTTATTATTTGCAACAATTTATAATAAGAATACCTATTGGATGTTCAACTTACTATTTATACCGAATGCTTTTGCAAATCTTGCTTGCTGATGTCTTTAGTGGAAAAGTTTGATTGCTTTTCTATTTGTTTATTTGACAGTAAAATTATTGCAACTTTGTCATTCTTAAATGCCTTAATTCTTCTCAATACAAACTGCGATTGGGATGCCTAGCGAAACAGTTATAGTACCATGGTCATATTTAACATGTGTTGTTTTTAAGCTAGCCTACGGCCTTCAATTGCTATTTACTTTGTCGTTTTTGTGCGTAAGCAATTTCAAGCGGACTTCTCCGCAACACAATTCTCACTCTAAAAGTGATTAATATAATTTACAGTTAGATTACCCAGTGGAAGTCCAACAAACTATTCCACGAAAGCATTTTGCAGATCTTGGGCGCTGATCACTTTGGTGATCAGCGCGCAAGATCATTTCACCCTTTTTCTAACTGTTCAGTTCTTTATGTACTCTGTATACAAACCTACACCAATAATAATGCAAATACAATAAACGCTTCGGGAATGTGGTCAAAACATATTGAATCCTTTAATTAAAACTATTCCAATTAATGGGAAAGGTGAAAAAGAAAATGTTTTAGGTGGTAAAAATGTGAGGAAGTCTTCAGTAATGAAGAAGGTAACGGTGTTGACTGTAAAACAGGACTAATTTACGATAAATAAGATATTTTACTCCACCAATGCATATTTTTAATCAAAATTACTATTCATTTCTTTATAGATAATTACTTCCATTCCTTGTTTTTCCTGTGATCAAGCACAAAATTTTGCATTGTAAGAATAAAAACGGGCTGGCTTCGCTACAGAAATGATGGGTTTCAGAACTATCTTTTGCACAATATGAAGGTAGTTGTTTATAATGTTGATTGCTAGTTTAAGAAAAATCGCTTTAAATACTTTCAAGCAGCAAAATGGTTTATCGAGTTCAGATCTTAGTTTTGCTTGAAGAATATTTTACCTCTCTCAGATCACCTTCATTGTTTCTTTTACCTAATTTTAACAAATGATATTGAAAAAATTATAGAAATTAAAGAAATTAAAGTGACAATCAGTTTCATAAAAGTAAATAATCAATTATCCTGATCGAACAGCAAAAGCTTCTTGCGCCTTTAAAAATCCACTTTATTCTAATTTGCCGTGGAATTTCATTTATGAATTTTGGCGGTCTGTTTGTTTTAGAATCGTGAAAAGATGATTTTCCATTAACTTATAAACAACTATTTCAAAGTTCTATATCACATCAGCACGGAGAAGTCAAGATCAAGTTTTACGATTAAACGACGAATAATTTAAACCAACGCTAAATAGAGCGTGGAAGACTTTTTTGTTTCTTCACTGCTAGCAACAACTACATAATTTGTAAAGACATATCAATAAATGGACAACGATCAAAAAGCACTATATAGTGTTGGATATGACAAATCCCACCCAACGGTTAAAAATTACTTAAGAACTTTCTTTAATTTAAGTTTAATTAATTTAAAAACTATGTATACGTGGAACTGTTGAAATATCAATCATGAATAACTCATTTATGCACATTTGCAGATTAATTAAGGAATATATATTAGCTTTCACTTCACTTCTTACACCACATCAAGGAAAGCTCTTTGGATGAGAAACAGCAGATCAAATAAAACACAAGTAAGTGCTTTTTATTACTTTTTACTGAGAGGTAGTAATACTAACGGTAGTAGTACTTCATACTTTAAGGTAGTTTTTAGATAAGGGATTATAAAATTTCGTCTTTTCTTTTAAAGATATTTTTTGCAAATCTTGCGCAGTGCATGACGTCTTTTAAGCGATGTTTTCCAAATCTGTTCATTTTTTTTATAAATCACTCGGCCTCCCTTCATGTAGGCTATACAGTATGTAGCTGTAAAAAACGGAATTGTTAGGAAAACATCGCTAAAGACATCAGCAAGCAAGATTTGCAAAACATTTGGTATAAATAGTAAGTTGAACATCCAGTAGGTTATCTTATTACAAATTGCTACAAATAATAAACATTTTTAACATAAAAATTGTTTTACCAAAAAACACTTTCAAATTACCTTGAACAAGAAATAACTCAGCTAAAAAACAGTTGGAACACATGGGGTTAAATTATGGTATAAGTTGTTCAAGTTGACAAATTTTAACAAAATTGGCTAATGCGTATGGGAGTACTTGATATTTAAATGTCGGGTTATTTTAAATCATTTCGTTTCCGATTGTTGTTTTGTTAGAATTCTCCATCATTCAATACGAAGAGTTTATAAAGTGCTTAAAGAGATGGACAGTTAAAAAGGAAAATCACAAAAACAAAAATTTTTCGTTATTTTCTCCTTTAAATTTTTAAATTTTATTCTAAAATTTCAATCATTAGTTCACTATGGCCAGCGGGAACTATACTCACAAAATTACAAAAAAAACATTTGTTAGGTTTAAAAGTACTTGATCACATGCAAACTCACACAAAAAGCAAATCAAGATTATATCATTCTGACCTTAAGACATGCAGGAGTAACGAAATTGAAAAATATACTTTAAGAATCATACTATAAATGTTATACTTTAAAAATTCTCTTGGCTTCATTCAAATATCCAATGTCAAATTAAATTTTCATTTGACATTTTTCGATACACAATGTGAACACACAATTTAAAACTAAGCACATCCGGACCATGGCCAAATGCTTTTTTTATCATTCAGTCCCTTCTAAAGTAAAAAGCTTAAAAGTTGTTTGGAAACTTATTGTTTCATTCTATGTTAAAAATCAAGTAAAATTGGCAGAGTTTTATTGGAAGCTTAATAGCTCGATGTCCGTTTATTTAACAACTAATGGATGAGGTTGAGCATGATATCAAGAACTATTCAAACCGAGGTCAATGTTATCTGCCAAAGCAAAACTGAGACAATAAAGAAAAATATTTGGCAATTTTCGCAAAATCGTTTGCAAACAGAAAAGACATTGGGAAGAACACGAGAGCTGATCAGTGGAAACCTAAGACCGAGCAAAGTGTGTAGTACCTGCTTGAGAGTTTAACAAACTTCTAATGTTTGCATTAGCCAGTTGAAAGACGGATAAAATTTGATTTTTTGATTTTTTTAATTTTTTTGTTAATTAGAAATATTGCAAAATAGGTAAAATTAAAAAAAATGTTTTCATTTTTCCTATGACATGGTGTGACGAATAATTTACACAATCTCATTCGGTGGTCTAATAGATTGAGCTCAGATCGGTCTGTGTTAGATATTGTAAACTCAGCTACTGAAGAATCAACACACGCTTTGTATGTTGCTTTTTTTATAAAGCATTATCAAGGATAGTTAAAACTCATTGAAAATGCAAACAAAAGTAATGTAGTTACACGGAACCCATTATTTTCTTTTAGAAACTTTGCTGACGTTATGAATCATTTTACTATTTTCTTTGCGACACTTTCATTGATCGTCATTGCACAAGCGATGAAGTACAAGACTTTGACTGACGACGAATCAGATATATGTTGTCGATTACAAATAAAGGCGTGTTGTCATGAAGGTAAGAAGACAACTTCGGAGGATGCAAGCCGACTTACAAAAAAATAATCTCATCCCTGCTGTATATGCATAAATTACCTTTCAAGCAAGTTTTTCACTCCTACAATGCAAATAATTTTCATACAATAACTGCAAAGACAATAAATCATATTAATCTTCTGAAGATTGAAATAATAAATACTTTACAATTTTTCATTGTTGGAATAAAAGATGGGAAACATGGGATTGGCTTCACCACTGTCGATGGGAGATTACTACATTTTTACAGTCGACTTTTATCATCTGATATAAAAAAACCATTATAATTTATTTCTAATCTCAAGAACTTTGCATCTTAATTCTGTAACCTGTTTTTATACAATACCTCGTAATAGGTAAGAAAAAGCGTGATGAAATCCTAAGTGACAAAGAAGCCAAGGCTGGGGTTGGTGAAATTGGAATTATTTCAAAGGGAAAAAGACGTGATGAAATCCTACATGACAAAGAAGCCAAGGCTGGGGTTGATGAAATTGGAATTATTTCAAACGGAAAAAAACGTGGCAAAATCTTCAGTGTTGAAGGACACAAAAGTAAAGATGTTGAAATATAAACTATTTTAAGATGAATGATGGATTTTAGAATTTCCTTTTACACAGTATAAATGCAGTTGTCTAGTTACTTGAAATTTTTTGATGAATCGGTAAACCTCTTTGTAAGTTAATGTAGAATCATTTCCTTAATTATACACTTATGCAGCAAAATCATTTTTCAAGTTTGCATTCTAGCTTTATTTAAAGCATATTTTCCTTTCTTCAGATCACCTTCCTTCTTCCTTATACTTTATTTTGACAAACGATTTGTAGCCTTCTTTAAAATTTTCGGCGGGAATAACGGATTATATTTTGCTGTAAAGACTTCCCAAATCTAAATAAGTTAGGAGACCAAAAAGTCATGAGAGAGATAATCATTGCTTTATAGTTATCAACTATAATTAGAAAAATTTAGCTATCACAAAGTCCAACGTCGTAAACACGTTGAGCGTAAGCTCATTTCACGCCAATTTATCCCCTATTATAGACGTCTTAGGCAGATGATCGCTAAATTTTCAAATATGTTCTAGTAGACATTAGTTACCTGAAAAATGAAACGTTGGCAAAAGGTCCATGTCAATTTCACCATGGTTACCTTTAATTGTCATGTTCGCAGCAAATTTGGTTTGAGAAACTGGCTTGATAATGAAAAACTTGTGGGAATTATGTTTTATTTTTTAGATGATTTCTTCTTTAATTTTGTCGGTCATCTCCTTCAACTCTTCACAAATGCTCAATTTGTTCGACAAATCAAGGTCAGCGTTTTCTTTTATCCCAGTTCCTTTTCCCATTGAACCACCCTAATATTTATATCACATTATTATACCTGTCCAATGAAAACAAACATATATATTATACGTGTTTGAGTGAAAACGACATCTTTATCTTCGCTTGTGAAATATTACTATAGTTTGCTGTACTAGAAACATTGATGTCAATTTACATTATTGAATTGTTTGCTAATAATGATGATATATAAAAGAAATTGCTGACAAAAAAAGGATTGGTTGTATAGGCCATTTGACAAAGACATATTGTTTTTCAGGTCCCACATCATAATGCAAAATTTATGACATATTTCCAACTCTGAATATTAACGTATAAATGCCCTTGATAAAAAAACGTTATACAATATATATGATAAAAACGTACCAGATATTTCAAAAAACTATAACTCAGACAGTGAAATTTCACCACAGCCCACAGGTTCATATATTTAAGGTCTCTGACTTATAAACCATTAATACAACTTTCCTTGCGCACAAATATTTTTTCAATTTCATGTTGGCTTACCACTGACCGTAACTTCTGGTAACATGAGCCATATCACCGTGACAAAATTTGCAAGAAAAGAGGTTTTTCTACAGACGTGGACATTGTAATGCTGGCTATAATTTGCTCTAAAAAGGACATGCAAAAAGGAATATACATACTTTCATCACTTCTCGAGGTTTAAAAGCGTCATTTAAAAAAGAGCAAATTTCGTCCACTTGCAGAGAAGTTATCGTATAGTAGTGCTTCTTTCATCGTACATGAATTGAAGAAACGGATACGAAGCTTTTTACTCTGATGAAATATGCTATTGTCGTATCTGAAGAAACAGTTATGGTGAGAAAGTGAAGTTACCTTTTTAGAGATAATATTGATATCAGATCTACAATTCTGACAATAAAAAAAGAAACGGTACTTCGGTATTTACCCGATTTGGCTAGTAAACATGCGTCCAACTTCTTCAAGAATGAAAAAAAAATTGTTTTAGAAAACCATGATGCATAAGAATACCAAGCTAATTGAACAAGTTGCTGGACTAGAAAACGCTGCAGTATTATGCCACAGTGTTTATTACACAATGAGAAATTTGTATGCGTCTTTAAGGAAACATATAAAGGTCGAAGTATCAGTAGACAAACTGGGTTACAAGATATTTGTTGAGAAACTGCAGCGAGAAAAATAGAAAGCTTCATGATCTCATTGTTTTGCTTCCTTGCAAAAGGAAACTCGAATACCGCACCACTAAAGATAATCATGCTGCACACATGTACTAGTGATTAACTAAGTCAATGGGATGACTGAAAAAACATTGTTGGTGATTCAACTGTCATACCGATTACTTATATCTGAACTTCTAGTCAGTGCAGAGGACATGAACATACATTAAAAACATATGCATGATAATGGCAACAATTTATGCGCCTGGCCTATGGCAATACTATCTTTAATTCGTAAATAACCTAACACTCCTAATCACAACATAATTGTAAATAACTTCCGTTTCCATCTCTTTTGTCTATACACTTGTCATGTATGAAATTTCGTTATATATTATCTCTATGCAAATATTTCATTCTTTAAACCGCACTGAAGATGGCATAAGTTTGCCGAAACATGTTCGCCACAAAAAATTTAAAAAAATTTTTATTGGAAACAAAACAATTGGGATGAACATGCCACGATTTATAGCTCACCATGTATTTTTAGGATCCCCAGTAATTACTAAAGTACACTGTTATATTTAACACGATCATGCACTATTTCCATATACGTGAATGAACGTTGCAAATCTTGCAGCAAGATGAGAAATTGGAAATAACTTGAACCTAACAGCTTTATGCCAAGAAAAAACCTGGCCAATGGTTATACTAGCTAGTGCTGAAATTAATGTTCATCAATATATTGCTTCTCGACTGTTTTATAATTTTAAATAAGGAAGACAATCTGAAGGAAAATAAGCTTTAGACAAAACTAAGATCTTAACTCGACAAAACATTTTTACTGCTTGAGTGTATTTAAAGCGATGATATTTTAAAATAGCAAACAAAATTACAGGTTAAACAAAAAAGTGCAAGAGTTTAAAAAAATGACTACACGATTAGAGCTACATTTACACTGGGTAGAAGGAATTTCTGAATTCCAGAATTCATCCTGAAATAGTTATTATTTACTATCCCCCTCTACGTCTTTTACTTGGAAAAACATCCTGAAGATTTTGTCACGTTTTTTTCTACTTGAAATTGTTCCGCTTTCAACATCCTCACCGTTGCTTCCTTTATTTCTGAAGATTACATCACGTTTTTTTCTACCTGCGGTGACGTATTTTGTAAAAACAGAATACAAAGATTAGCGACAAAGTTATTGTAATTAGAATCGACTTTTAATGGCTGTTAACTCTTATATGAGAAGATGAAAGTTTACTGACAAATAACATATAATATCTAGATCTTAGAGGAAAGTTTTTTTTCTCGTTCTGTTATAATTATGGCGGCTGAAAAGAATAAAATAAAATGTAAATATCGCCAGTCTGAGGTTTTACTCCAGCAATGCAAATTTTGTAATGCAATTCATTATTTATTTCTTTAGAAAATTAAATTAACTCATCGTGTTTCTAGTGATTGAACGCAAAAATATTCCATTGTAGGAGAAAAAAATTGGCTATATCTAATATGTATGGATATACGGGAAGAATTAGAACAATTTTTGTCAAAACTTGCTTGAAAGGCAATGTATGCATATACAGCAGGGAAGAGATTTTTTTCTTGTAAGTCGGCTTGCATCCTCTGATGTAATAGATGAAAATCTTTAAAATTTTTCCTCTTACCTCCAGGACAACAAAAGTGCATTTTTAAATTACAACACATATTTGATGTGTCGTCAGTCAAAGTCTTGAACTTCATGGCTTGTACAATGACGATCAATGAAAGTGTTGCAAATAAAATACGCAAATGATTCATATTGTTAGCAAAGTTTCTATAAGAAGAGAAATGGTTTCATGTAGGTACATTTCATTTGTTTGAATTTGCAATGAGTTTTGACTATACTTCATCTAATAACAATAACACGACAACAGAACGCATGCGCTGTTTTCTTAATAGCTGAATTTGGAAAAGCCTGTGCAGACTGATTTTAACTCAATCAATTAAATCACAGAAGAGAATTTACAAATCTTTTATAAATACATATTAAAAAAATTTCTAACATTCATTTTAAATTTATTTGTTTGCATTATTGTTTTTTTACAAATAACTTATAGGATGTTTTTTTTGTTGAATTGGCTCATGAAAATTTCAGAGACGTTTGTGAATCTCTCAAGCAGGTGACACGTACTGATCTCTCAAATTTTCCAGGGCAGAGCTGCCTCTACTGATAAGTATAACAGTGTAAAACTGCAACTCATATATTTATCGTTTCCAAAATAACATTAATCATTAATGATAATTTAAATTTTCAGTAGTATTTGAGTTCTAATTTACAGACACGCTGTTAGTTCATAAAACAAATTATTAACAAAACCAACTGGAGTATATGGAGTATATAGCAGTGCATTTTTTAGGGAAGCTGTAGTACAGCAAGAAAGCATTGGTAAAATATATACATAATGCTATCTTATGAACCTTAAAGTGGCATATAGACTTTGATGAAAATTCTGTCAATTATTCTTTACTAATTGATATATCTATAGCCAAATAATGTTTAATAACTATGATAATGAATAATAATAATAACAACTTATAATTCAACTTGATTATAAAATGTTCCAGCATGACAAAAACTTCTAATCATCTTACAGAAAAGATTTTCTAAAACTACAAAGGACTGTCTTCAAGTCAGCTTTCGGGAGAATAAAGTTTGTTCTAGAAAATTCAGCAGGTTTGCAGCACAGCAACAAAAATTAGCATGATTTTAAGATATGTAAATTAGGAAATGACCAGCAATAAATTTTCTAATAATATTTATGTTCAAAAGAAAGTAAGCTACCTTCATTTTTAAAATAAAGTATATTACAATTTTACTAGATTAATTTACTCACAACTTTATGGCATTTAACCATATAAAGGCCCGATGTAACAGGAGAATTCTCAGTTGTCTGGATTTTTGTAGCTATGAAATATAAATAATCTTTATTAACAATGTCTATTGGAAGATTAAGGCTTAGTTTTGTGTTTGATATCTGCATGAAACGAAAAGAATTCTTGAAAGATATAGAAATCGTAGTTTCTTTTAATTTCACGACGTTACGATGATCTAATTAGGGTTTGCATTTTTATTTTGTGGGTGTGAGCGTGATCAAGTGCACTGAAACTTACGAAATGTTTTCCTTTATTTACTTTTTTAAGTGTATTTCCCATCAGCCCGTAAAATTATGGATTGAGAGTTGGAGGAGCATTAAAACCTTGAGGAGATTTTAAAAAAAAGATATTTTCTCTACACTCGTGAAAAACTCTTTGAATGCGTAATCAGGTCATGCATGATCATTTACTGTCCATTCCTTACATTATTGCCTTGACCTAATTGAAATAATAATAATACACATAATTATATCCAGTCGCCGAGGGCACTCTAATTTATATGTCATTATCTGCTCAATCAAGACAAGCTTTGCTCACCAGAAAGAGTTACGAGCTTATGATATAAGTGCGTTTAAGCAAACGTTTCGTATGTTCAAAATATTTGTGTGAATTTTTGCCTTTCGCTCACATCAAGTCAAATAGTGTTACTCTGTAAAGGTTCGTAAAAGTGCAAGCCACATAGGTTCAACATATTTTAATGTCGTTAGAGAAGCGGTTCATAGAAGGTCAAGCAGAACACATTATTGAAATATATATTTCTTGGACGATATAGAAATCGTAATTTCTTTTAATTTCACGACGTTACGATTATGTAATTAGGGTTTGCATTTTTTTGTGTGGGTGTTAGTGTGATCAAGTGCACTGAAACTTACGAAATGTTTTACTTTATTTACTTTTTATGTCAGAAACTTCTTTTTTACACCCGTCAATCGTGAAAACCGGTAATCAGGTCATGAATAATTATTTACTGTGCATTCCTTACATTGTTGCTTAGACCAGATCGAAATAAGAAATCGATCTTGTTTAACTTAGCTGCAAGCCGTATATATATACATCAATTTACTACGTCATCATCAATCAAGATACAGATTTGGTTGCCAGAAAGAGTTACGACAGAGATTTGTTGGAGCAAACGTTTCGCATGTTCAAAATATCTGTGAAAATTTTTGCCTTTCACTTACATAAAACGAAATAGTGTTATTCTGTAAATGTCCGTAAACGTGCAAGCCATATAGTTTGACCATAATTTTATGTCGTTTGAGAAGCGGGTCACAGTAGGTCATGCAGAACATATTGTTAAAGTGTATATTTTCAATTTACTGTACAATACACTAATCCTATTGAAAGTATTTTAGCCACAAATATACTTTACTAATTTCTAACTAGCAGCGTTGCTACAAAAGCTTTTTGAATTTTAAATATATGCCCTAAATATTTGACTTACCTTAGATCTGCTACTGTGTCCCTTTGTGCTCGTCACTTTAAAGATAATTGCCTCCGCCAGCGGATATATTTTATATTCTGTTTATTTAATATGCATGACTAAACACTATATTTTGTTAAGTAATACGCATGTAGTCAGAATGTAGCGGCAGACCTGAGTATCTTACCAAACATAAAATGTCTAAAATGTGAAAAAAACATTGTAGAACGGCGTTCTTTGTCATTTCAAATCTTTCCTCTAGAGGTAATTTACTCGTAAACCGAGTGTCAAAAAAATGAACGTTTCATGGACAAATTTTATCCTTTCATTAAAACTTTTCCGATTAATGTGAGATCGCTTCAGTGAGATAAGTGTGAGATGTAAATAGATTGAAGATTTGCTTGCTTTCCAAATATCGTTACATTTGGGGAAATAATTACAAATACATTATAACTCCATTGATTATTTTGCAAAAAAAAGCTGTGAAAATAACTACTTTCTCCAAATTTGATGAACATACCACTCCTCTGTTCAAGAAACTAAATTTACTAAAATTTCAGGATATTGTCTATCTCAATACGACCTTGTTTTTACATAACTTTTACAATTCAAAACTTCCATAAGAACTTAATGATTTCTTTAATCTAGTAGTGGAGAAGCACAGCCACAATATTCGGTTAGCTTCTAAGGCAAATTATTCTCTACCTTTAGTTCGTACCAATTATGGGAAATTCAATATACGGTCTATTGGAACTAAGATATGGAACAGTGTTGATGAATCACTAAAAAATTTTTCTTATTCTTATTTCAAAAAGAAACTAAAACTTCGATTAATTGATAAGTATTAATTTCAAATGAATTGTGTGATACAAAGTTTGGTTATATTTATATTTATATATATTCTTATATAAGTTTGAAAATTTGTAATCCAGGCATTTAATACATAAACGATAAAAGTTTCTCCGGATTTAAAGTGAGTTTTATTGAGCTTTCGACTCGTTGCTTCGAGCCTTCATCAGAATGAAAAATATTTATTTACACGTGCTTTTTAGCTTGGAGACGTTTAGAGCGTCTAATTGGATGAGTGGGTGGATTAATGTGATTGGATTGGGTGAAATGCGTTGCCATGGGTTTTGGTGTATTGTGAATATTATTGGTCTTAATAATATTAGAGTGTAGTGTTTTAGTTTTGGTATTGTTTGTAGTTTTTTTTGTTTTTGTTTGTGTTTGTATTGTTTGTAGTTTTTATTTCACCCCATCCAATCACATTAATCCACCCACTCATCCAATTAGACGCTCTAAACGTCTCCAAGCTAAAAAGCACGTGTAAATAAATATTTTTCATTCTGATGAAGGCTCGAAGCAACGAGTCGAAAGCTCAATAAAACTCACTTTAAATCCGGAGAAACTTTTATCGTTTATGTATATTCTTATATGTATATATATTTGCATATTTTTTCTTATGACCCTACATCCGTATGTACAACTGTATTTATATGAATCGTGTTAATCTTCATTTACTTTTCTTTATCTTATGTCAAATTATACATGTCAATCATCAACAAGCTATGTTAATTAACGTGTAATATGGTTATTACATCAATATTATTGTAACCAATTTTTTTTTAGTTGTATATTATTATACAAACGTTGTGCCGTGTGGTTGCCGGCTTAGAATTGCGCCAACGTATCCTCTGCGTGTCGTAAAAGAGGACTGACGACTAAAAGGGGTTGGTGTAAGGAAGGGCATCCTACCGTAAAACTTTTGCTCCAACAAAATTCATGAACTTTGGTAAAGAAGACATGGCCCCCAGTTCCCGGCAGCCCTTCAGTGGGCAGGGGGTGCGAAGAATCTTCGGATCGATAGTTGAAAGCTTTGGGGTGAGAGTTGGTTCTACGAATGTTGGTGGAAGTGTCACCCTTCGGGTAGGCACAGTGAACGTTGGGACAATGAAGGGAAGGAGTGCAGAAGTGGCGGACATGTTGAAGAGAAGGAAAGTTGATGTGTGTGGGTTTCAGGAGGTAAGGTTTAAAGGTGAAGGTACGATAGTCATAAAGGTGAAGATAATGGAGCGAGATTTAAGTGGTTTTGGAAGGGAAACGGAAGTGGCACGAATGGTGTTGGCTTTGCGATAAGAGAGGATTGGGCGAAGTTGGTTGTAGCAGTGAAGAGAGTTTCGGACAGAGTCCTGAGAGTTGATGTAGTTATTGAGGCCGAAGTTGTGAGTTGTGGGTGTATGCTCCGCAGGTTGGACGAAGCTCGGAGGAGAAGTAAAGTTCTACGACAGCGTGTATGCAGTGAGAGCAGACATTAGAGGGCAATGTGTGTGCTTGGTGATTGGGACGGTCATGTGGGAAGCGTAAAAGGATACTGTGCGCATGGAGGTTTTGGAGTTGGTGATATGAATGCTGAAGGCGAGGCGATATTGGAGTTAGCAGCGAGTTGTGGGCTGGTGGTAGTGAATACGTGGTTTATAAAGGAAGAAAGCAAGCTTGTGACGTATGAATCTGGTGACAGTAGGACGGTGGTGGATTATATACTGGTGAATGAAGAAGAGGAAAACGTGAAGGATGCAAAAGTGATTGCAGGAGAAGAATGTATGACCAGCACAAGCTGCTGGTCATGGACTGGAGAATCAGGAAGGTGAAGAGGAGAAAGGTTGAGGGTAAAGGCAGGCAAGCTATGGAAGTTACGATGAATGAAGGGAAGCAGTGTTTCCGTGACGAAATTACGACATTGAATGTTGAGGTGAGAGACAATGGAGGAACGATGGACGTGCTTGGAAAAGGGTGTTTTAACAGCAGCGGAGAAAAGGTATGTTGTAGAAGTAAAGGCGGTGTAGTAGAAGAACAGAGCATAGTGGTGGGATCAACGAGTCAGCAGAAATGATTGGCGCGAAAGTTAGCATTTAAAGGTGGAAATCGTGACTGAAGCAGATGGATCAATTACATCCGTTCAAAAAAGGCGCAAAAGGAGGTGGCTAAAGCGATAGAAGGCATCAGAAAGAGCTTCTCGTAAAACAGGAGAATGGACGAAACGCTTTGTTTTAGAACATTAGAAGGACAGAAGGAGGAACGATATTTTGGGTGCTCGGCGTGCAGAACCGATAAGGAGTTGAAGGTATTGGAGACAGGTTAGAATGTGGAGGGCGTACTGTGACCGTTTGATGAATGTAGGAATAGTGGAATGGAAGTTGAAGCGGATGAAATTTTGGGGCCGTGGAAACAGTGACTGTTGATGAGGTGGCGACGGCTCTGCCCAAGATGAAAAGGCGACAGGACCGAGTGAGTGGGTAGCGAAATGTTGGACAATGAACTATGCGTAGAAAGTTGTGTAATGGCGAACGAGGTTTTGAGGGCTCAAAGATGCCGAGTACATGGAGAAAGAGTCTGGTCCCCGCTGTACAAAGGGAAAGGGAGCAGCGACGGTATGTAAAGTTACAGGACTATTAAGCTGATGGAGCATGCGTTGAAGATAGTAGAAAGTGTTTGAAAGAAGGTTGAGGAAGTTGTTCGGATGGGGAAGAGCAGTATGGATTCATACCGGGAGAGGAACGACGGATGCGTGTTTTGTGTTGAGGCAGCTGCAGGAGAAATTTTAGAAGGACAGAGAATTGTATATGGTGTTTGTAGTTTGGAGAAGGCGTTTGATAGAGTTCCGAGAAAGGTGATCGAGTACGCGCTGCGTAAAGAAAGGTGTGACAGAGAATATGGTTCAGGCAGTTATGGAGACTTATGAAGGTGTAGAGGTGGTGGTTACGGAGGAAGGTGTTAGATCTGGTGTTTTTGAAGTAAAAGTTGGTGTTCATCAAGGTTCAGTCTTGTCGCCGTTACTGTTTGCTTGTGTGATGTATGTACTGACAGAGGAAATAAGAAAAGGATGCTGGTGTTTGTTGTATGCAGATGACATTGTCTTGGTGGCGGAGTCGAAGTAGAAAAGTCATGGAATGGTGCCGAGAATGGAAAACGGCAATAGAAGTCCAGGGACTGAAAGTGAATGAGGCAAAAGACGAGGGCAGATGCTCGAGGCAGGTGGAAGTGAAGGACAGTGACAAATGGCCATGGTGTGTGTGGGAAAGGTTAGGTGGGTGGATAATGTATGGGAAATGCAGTAAGTGAGTTCATGGAAGATGTTCAGGTGTCCGTGGTGCATTGACAAGAGTAACTGATTTTAAGTGCAGGACGTGTCGAAGTGGTGGGCGAGTCGGGATTGAACGGTTTGAACTGGGTGACGTGAGTTTGGAAGGTGTATCGGAGTTTAAATATCTGGGCGATGTGTTAAATGATGGTGGAGGGTGCGAGCAAGCGGTGAAACAGAGTTCAAGCAGCGTGGTGGAGTTTAGAAGTTGTCAGAGAATGTTGTGCGGAAAGTCGACTTCGTTTAAGCAGAAGGAAAATTGTACAAGGCATGTGTTAGAAGTGTTTTGGGATATGGAGCAGAGTGTTGGGCGCGAAAGCAGAGACCTGAGAAGATTGGCGTCGACGGAAAGGAGAGATGCTTAGGATGATGTGTGGTGTAACGTTGATGGATGGGATTCAAAGTGAAAAGATTAAGAGAAAGTTGGTGTTGAGTGTATCGAGAATTGGATAAGGCGCCAGCGTTTGAGGTGGTTTTGGCATGTGGAAGGAGGGAAAGTGCTGAAATTCGTAGAACGTTGCATATGAATGTTGATGGAGTCCGCAAACGAGGTAGACCAAGAAGGAGATGGATCGATGCTGTGAACAGTGATATGAAGGTGATGGGTATAACGAGAGATATGGCGAGAGATAGAGACGTTTGGCGTAGAAAAATTCATGGACCGGTCAACCCCCCTCGCGGGGATTAATACTGGACGGTATACAAATGTTGTTTGTTTGTTGTATACAAACGTTGAGTGGAATCTGTCATATTTTAACACTATATAGTGTTTTATTCTTATTTAATCAGACTATACATGCAATCAATTGCTATAACTGCATGTGCCTAAACAAAAAAATTTATTATTTGTGATACATTTATTTACGTGTCTTACTATTTTTCATTTGGTTTTGCTTTGTTGATTAAATGACGTAA